CAGAAGGGAATGATCTGTGACTGCTAGAGGGCCCATTCTCCAGATTATCTGAATTTTTGATTATCCAATCTGGCACAGGGTCCCAGTTACATCGGATAAACGGGGTTCTGCTGTACACAGATAGAAGCAGATTTATGGGGATTTTCTGAACAGTGAGAACACGCAGCCCTAAGGCCCGATTCTGTTATAGAGAGGGATTCTTGGTCATGCTCAGAAAAGGGACAGACTCCCACAGAATGCAATACTGCAGGTCAGGATTGAAGTGCAAAAGCACATCTGTTCAGGGGAGCCCAGAACTGCACTATCAGGGGGTGCCGTCAGTCAGGATTACGGCGCACTGACAAAGCTGTAGGGGAGGGACATGTCTGCAGTAGCAGGGGGACGGTCCTGCAGGTTAGAACGGCAGCGCATCAGCAGAGCTGCATGGAGGGCCCGTGACTGGATTAGCAGGGGTTGCTGTAGGTCAGGGATGAGACATCAGCAGAGCTGTGTAGGGAGCCCCAGGCTGGAATGGCAGAGTTCTGAGAATTAGGGCTGAGCAGTGTAGGGAGAACGCGTACCGCACCTGTTTGCACTGTCTTTGATTACAGATAGTACTAGCAGTGCCTCATTTTCACAACCACATTCACACACAATTGCCTTTTCATTTCTCAAGGAACGAGACCCTTTTCGAGGCACAGTCAATCCTGGGAACAGTGACCTGTTTCCACCTGTATCTCCAAGAAGTTGAGCGCAAGTTGCGTTCTGCCAAAGAGGATGACGACACGTAACGGAGGCAGTTTCTCTTTTGGACGCCCCTTCTTCTGCCTCCACTCTGCCAGCCTCTCCACCTCTTCCACTAGGTCTAGTTTGCTTCCAGGGAACGCTCTGTCTCAGGAGCTGGATCAAGAGCTTTGCTTGGGCTTGTGTGTCTCTGGGTTGAAAGCATCCCTCAGGCTACACGTGGTTTTTCTTCCCCCATTGCTAACGCAGAGGAAAGACGCTAACAACCCCTGGGGCAGAGCAATGAAAAAACACGAAGTTCACGGACCTCGATTCCTTGTCTTCAAAGCTCTTCATGAGCCCTGGTGGAAGTCATTGAAACCCAGGAGGGGAACAGCTCAGAGAGCGCCATCCCCCAAGGGGCGGCGAATCCTCAGGCTTTGCTGTCATTTTCATGGAGGTTTTTTAAAAAATATTCCCCCCATTTTCTAACTTGCTCTTGTGGATTCTGGTGCTTTCACAGCCCAGATCTGCTGTGCTTACATCCAGAACCAACCCACTGCAAAACCTAGGGGGCTTTTTGCATTGCGTGGACGAAACCGCCCCATGGCCCTTAAAACAGGTCGGAGAAGACGTGTCATGCCTCAGAGCAGGAACAAATTCCCCATTTTCAGTCTTGTTCCGGTAAAAATCTCTGGGAGAGGAAATGCTGCCGCTGTCTGTGTCTGCCCTAGGTACCTGCATCCCTTACCCTGGCCAGAATTCTGGGTAGCTCTAGGCTGACCAGATAGCAAGTGTCAAAAATTGGGACAGGAGGGGGGGGGGGCATAATAGGTGCTATGTGAGAAAGACCCAAAAATCAGGACTGTCCCTATAAAATTGGGACATCTGGTCAACCTAGCTAGCTCACACTGGGACTTATAAATGGTGTATTCAGAAGACAAAGAACCCCACTCCTGCCAGCCTTACTCAGCTGCTCCAACTGACGCCTCTGGGCCTGCTCCATGAAGAAGAGGTCCAGGCTCAGGCTCAGAGTTCATAGATCCCAAGGCCAGAAGGGACCATTCTGATCATCCACCCTGACCCCCTGTGTAGCACAGGGCAGAGAATGTCCCCAAAACAATTCCCAAAGCAGATCTTTTAGAAAACTCATCCCATCTTTATTTAAAAATGGTCAGTGATGGAGAATCCACCACAAACCTTGGTAAATCGTTCCAATGGTTAATTACCCTCACTGGTAAAAAATTACACCTCATTTCCAGTCTGAATTTGTCTCACTTCAATTTCCAGCCATTGGATGGTGTCAGACCTTTCTCTGCTAGATTGAAGACCCCATTATTAAATACTTGTTCCCCATGCTGATACTTAAAGACTGATCAAATCACCCCTTACTCTTCTCTTTGTGAGGCTCAATGAGCTCAACAATTTTAGGTTAGCACTAGAAGGCATGTTTTCTAATCCTTTAATTCCAGTGGCTCGTCTTTGAACCCTCTCCAATCAATCAACATCCTTCTTGAATTGTGGGTTTCAGAAAGCAACAAAGAATTTGCATGACAGAGATGAGACAAACAGAAAGAACCAGCCCAAACAATGCAGTTGGCTGCCCATAGAGGTCTAATGCTTTGGGAGGAAACAGTTGAGAAACAGTAAAAGCAAACACTAACCCCATGTGGAATGCTTTTGTGTTGATAGCAATCACCTTCTCACAGAAAAAGCTGAACACTTTGGTCCCTCCTTATAGTTACCACATTTACAACTGTACACACGAGGGACCTTTTTCTTTCATGATAACGGTCAGTAATAAATCACATCTCCAAGAGCTTTTATACCTTTGACAGTCAGAAAAAAAACATACACCACAGAAATGTAGGCCTGGAAAGGACCTTGAGGGGTTGCCAGGTCTGACCAAAGGAACCCGTCTGTTCTGGAAGTTCATGCCTGGACCAAAGCCATATTCTCCATTCTTGGGCAGCTGGCTCAGGGGGGCAGGCTGTGCGTGTCTCTGTCTGTAGCTCCCCCAGCACCATCCCCAACCTCTGAGCAGCGTGAGCTGGTCCATCCTCTCAAAGTAGCAGCAAATCAGATGTCTAGTGAGGATCACTAGTCCATTCCTCATGGCAAGGAAGGAGAAGGGAGGGGCACAGCAAGGAATGGCTCATTTTGGTGTCACAAGTGGCTGGTGTTTGGGAGATACCACCACTTACTTCTATTACTCAAGTGGAGAGGCTGCAGGCCCAGGGCACATTCAGGTCCCCCTGAGGGGGTCTCTCTAGAAGGAGGCCAATTAAAATCAAAGAACCGCTTGATGAAATCTGGAATATCTGCACTAGCCCCTGTGAGAAGTGTCTCCTTTCGGCAATACACATAGATGGAACTTCGTCCCACCCCCTTCACTCCCCACCCCACCTTGGGGGTTTATCATACTTTCTGGGGCTGGGAGAGCAGGAGCCACATTGCAGCCTAGACTTTGCAACCATTCAGAAAACATTTCAGGGGTGGAGAACTGATTGATCATGGCCAGGACTCATCCTGGCTAAATATCCGGAACAGCACTGCCGAGGACAGGATGTGGGGGATGGCATTGGGAGTGTACACCATTCACTATTTCCGAGGGACTTCCATGGTGGCCCCAGACACCAAGAGAAAGGCACAACTCTAGAGGAGAGAATCTGAACTCATGGCCCTTCTATTCAAGGGCAGTGCTTGTTTCTCTAAGATACCACGTGAATACACTAATCAGTGAGTCAGTCACCAAGGACTACAAGAAAACAACAGTTTTCAGAGGAGAACTGTCTAAACAGAGGTGCTAAACTTCTTAGAGTGCCATAATTTGAAATACTTCCAAACTGGTCGATCAGTAGGTGATTGCAGGGGCAGTTCATGACAATTTCATGAGGGCCAGAGGATCAGATTTTCCGTAGCTCTGCACCAAAAATAGTTTAAGTATCAGAAAATAATGAGCAACTCATTGTTGGGAGACTGTATTGAAGTCACCCTTTGACCAAATGACCCAACATTTCTGCCACAAACTCTGTCCTGCCCTTGTTGTTGCATACCAGTTTTCAAGACAATTTCCCCTGTGCACATTGATTTTAGAGCCATTTGAAAATTAAACAGTTCCTTATTGGGCACCCTGTAGCTGAGGAACCCCTGGATCAAATGACCCCAGACTTGCATCACTTTTAGCTATGCTAGAGTGCTTTGAAGGATCGTCCGTTAAACCAGAAGCTTTGCTCTTGTGGCAAAACTCCCCAAAGAAGGCCCTGCAGAGTTTAACCTGTGTGCACAACATGCGCTCAGAAAGCTGCCCCAGGCAGGATTTGAACTGTATATGAGCGTCGCTCAGGTTCAAGGGCCACAGCCTGGCACCTTAAGCCATTTACTCTGACCTCAAGCTACCTGCCAACATTCTGGCTTGCGGCGGAGTTCCTGTCCCGCTGCAGACGAGCAAAATGATTCATACATCAGCTTGGCCCCACTGGAGATTCCACTTTTGTCCTGAATAACATTGAAAATGTTGCTTCCCCAAAAGAGCGGTAGGGTCTGGAAACCAGCTGAGATCAAACCTGAGTGGATGATATCAGTGTGGCAAGGATCCGAAGCCTTGTTTGTGCCCCAGTAGGTGCAAAAAGACATCAGAATGGTAAAAAGGTTGATGATGTGAAAAGTAAGGGGATGGTCACTTGGTACTCTTCACTCAAATGAGCCCAAATTTGAACCAGAAATCCCACCATAACTCCCAGTGAGGCAAAGCAAATTTTAACATAAAAGTTTGAGTAGGTATGTGGATTTTAGAGCAGTTAAGGGGAAATGTCAGCAGTTAAATAGTATGCTAGTCTTACCCTTTATATTATAGTGCTACAGCCCCCACAGTATGCCCTTAACAAGACAGAGGTCCATGTTTACACTCCTATAAGTTTTACCATTTTGAAACGCTTTCTAAAGAGCGAATTTCAATACCAAACCAAAATACATACCGTAGACTTACATTTTCAAGAGTTTTGGATGCTTTAAGGCACCTTTTGAAAATCAGGCTGCATTCAAAGCACTGATATAACCTATCCTCTGAAAATCAGGTGCCTTTAAAAAGGTCTCTCAAACTAGGCACCCACAAAATCAGTAGTCACTCCTGAAAGTTTAGGCACTAAACAAATTTTACAGATCTCCTTGCATCAACTCCTTCATCCCTCATCTGAGCCCAGGGGAAACTGACACGTTGGGGTAACAACTTTCAGACCTTTAAATGTGCTGAAGGTGTAACAGCCACATTTCTATGGAAAAAACAGACCAAGACTAAGTTCACAAAATTTTTGTTTTTATTATTTTAAATTGGAAAAGGCTCCTTGGGTAATCATAATAGGTGTAAAAGTCACACACACACACTCACTTTGTTCACACAGCTTTCTATCCGACACCTGGGATGCAGCGGGCAAGCACTGCAAAATCACTGCTGTCTTTTGCAGAACAATCCCTTTCCTCCCCAAACCAAATACAAGCAGAGGCAAAAAATCCCCCTCCGCCCCCACAAAAGGACACAAACTGGGACAGGTGCATTGTTTAAACTACAGTTCTGATTTTTCATGTTAATGTTTGTAGCATAAGAGGTTTAAGTGCCAGAAAGGGAGGATCAAGCAGCATTTCAGAAAGAAAGTTCACCTTTCCTCTCTCTGCTACCATTTGTAGAAGGCAGATAGCTGGCGTGTTACTTATATTGTGTCATAGGATGCACATGGCACTTTACAAACACTTAAGACAACAATGGTATTGACACCAGATATGAACCTTACTCTGAAAGGCCAGTTGGAGACTGTAGTCTGTGCCACATGAAATTGTTAATGAAGGATACACACAGGAATATCTAGGGGAACGAAGGGGGGGCAGAAAAAAAATCAACCAACAAAGGGCATATTGCTTTGATAAAGCAAATGAACACAACTAACTTAAGTGCTTTTTTGTCAAGATTGAAAATTAGAGTGCAGCCCAAACAAAAAACCCCATACATAATTACACATTTTAATTTAGCACACACACAAAAACCAGTTGCACTCACATTTACATAAGTTACCTCATTCTTCAGATTGAGCTCAAGTACGTTCCACTGCTTGTCTGCCTGGGACCACAAATACCAACATGCAATCCTGTGGCAGCTGGACACAATGAAAGAAGTTTGGCCATGTGAGTAGCCATCTACACACACAAAATTATATATTATCTTCTAAGCTAGCAATCTGAGATCAAACAGCCCCATTTCAACACATGAAGCCAGCACTTGCATTATGCTCAGTGATTAGTTTTAAATAAAAATAAAAAAAAATGCTCCTTAAATTAAGAGTCATCCAGTAAAGTAAAAATTGAGCCTGTTTCATTTTTCTCCAGCTGTTTGCTTCTCCACAGCACGTCTTCTGTAGAAGTTACCTCCTTTCCCCTATCATTTCCTAAGGAGCTGCATCTCTTCCCTTGATACCTCGTGCCAGAATTGCTGCAGCCACACTGTTCGAAACAGACAGACAGCAACTGCAGGGGAAAGTGGATACCCAAAGCTACACATTTGCATTCTCCCTAAGTAAACAGAACTTTACAAGTCTATCTGGACTGCCAAAAACCTTCTGTACCAGTGCAGAGTCCTGTTGGGTCACAGCAGTTTACAGCTAAAAAGAATTCCAGCCCAACACATGGACATCTTACTCGTCGTTACAGGTTCTATGAAGTTTCTTGGATGTGATACTGAGCTAGAAATAAACCCACATTCAGGAAAGTCTCCAAGGGTGTGACAGAGTTTCCAGCTGCTTCATGGGCATCTCTGATTCCTAATGTTCATGCACTATCCTGAGTGTGCTTCCATGGAAACACCTGTTAGAGGATGCTGAGCCATGGTTTGTCCAGTAGCTGCTAGGTCAGGTTGCAGTGCAGATTGCAGGGGTTTGGTTTATGTATTCCTCGGCGCTATTGCCAGCAGAGCATTCCTAGACCAACAGACTGACCAGTCAGAGTCTATTTCCTGTCTGCGTACAGGGCACTTTCCCCAAAGGCTTTCCATTGTCACAGAAGAGACACAGGGTGCCTTAAGTCTCCATCTCAGCCTCCTCTAACAGGTGTTTCCCCTCAAGCACCACTCACAGGACAGTGCACGAACACTGGGAAACGGAGATGCCCCCAGAAAGGTGGGAACTCTGTCGCACCCTAGAAGATGCAAACTCCACCACATGGCTCCTCATCTTGGGCCAGCTCAGACACGCAGACCCCTCCCTTGTAAGCAACTGCTCCTCCCAAGGACAAGTGCCTTCACCCCAGAGGAACACAGCGCCTGGAAACACTGTACCACCCCCCACCCAATGACAATTCTTCAACTAACCCACAAGAGAGGCCCATCAGCCTCCCAATACCAAGTGACAGGATTCCACACGCTTGAAGTGCACTTTTGCTGCGCAACACTGCTAATTAGAGAAAACCCTTCCCACAACCAGACGCTTCCGCACTCCAGCTTTCACTATGCCTCTGTAGCACAGGTGATTATTGGCGTTATCACAGTATCTAGGAGCCCCAGTCACGGAGCAGGACCCCACCGTGCTAGGCACTGTACAAACTTGGAACATGCTTACTTCCCCCACCGCAGATTCAGACACCCCTGAGAAGTTCTCCTGTGCTACCAGCCACAACAGCCGACCCTGCTTTTCTACAGGCTCCCCATGGGCCAAGCAGAGGGCTGGCGGAGGCATCTGGAGCCACTCAGAGAGGGCCCGATCCTGCAAGCATTCTGGGCATGAGCCAAAACCCACTGATGTCATTGGGGAGTCTTTCCATCGACTCCAACGGGCTTTGGATCGGTCCCCCCATGAGCACAGAGGGCTTGCAGCAGCAGCCCTTTGCTTTTGGTAAAATACTTGGAGACCATTGGCTTGGCGGGACTAGACTAGGGCAGAGTCCCGTTAATGCAGGGTAAAATATCATCTCGACCTGGACGAAAAGCAAGGGGCCTCCTGAACGGGAGGAGAGCTCGGAGTAAGACTATCTATCCCCCCACCGCCAGTGATCAGTTCAGGTGGAGAGACCAGTAAGTTTTTCAAGCTGCTCTACAGTACAGAGCGGTTATGCCACCATTTAAATACTTTTAAACAGGGGTTTCACACCCCAGTTTTCAGGGGCACAACAGACCATCCTCCATCCGCAAGTGACCGGTCTAGTGCGAGCGTCAGCACACCTCTGCTAGGACGCAAGCTCCGTAACGCTCGGGAGACGATGCCGAGCCAGAGGCTTCCCCCGCCAGGAGTGACGCCGTTTTCCAGTTGTTGTAAAAACCCGTTGTCAGGGATCAACCCTATCCACAGCTTTACGATTTCACAGTAATGCAGAGGGGCTTGCTGGGCCCCATCTGCAGTAAGTGGCGTTCTCCAGAGGGGAAAAAAAATCCTTGATTAGTCACTGGCTATGTTGCCAGTAGGACTCAGGAAGCTGGCCGGGGACAGGATATAAAATCTCGCCCTCCAGGGCATGTTACAGCCTGCAGGAATCAGTGCAGCCAGACTAGACCTCTGACACGATCACTTGTGTACGCTGTCATGGGAGTAGGCGCTAGGTCCATGGCCAGACCCCTCCGTGACTGGCAAGACACCGCTTAAAATTACCACCCCACCGATGAGACTGCCCCACTGAACCTGCTGATGTTTTCGTGTAGCTTACGCCTTCAAAGTGCCCCTCCTCTCTCTCTCTGCCCTTCTGCAGCCTGACTCTGAAAGCGGCTGTGTCAATCTCTTCACGGCACCTTTTTTTTCTTCTACCTTTCCGTGAAAAACACGGGTACACCTTGGTCCAAAGGCCCCTACACAGACTGTAGCCTGGGAGGCCACTGCTCCCCAGAGGTGAAGTACCAATTGCCATGGCTTCAGACCTCCGCCAACTTTCCATTCACACAGGGCCAGATCAAAGGGAATTCGCCTCTGAAATGTCACAAGGTTGAAGGGCTTTTTTTGGCATGAGCCCGGATTCCAGTCACTGTCTCTCCAGCAAGAGAATGAAAACCACGATGTGCCAGCAGTTCGGCCAGGTACGTTCCGACACTGAAGTTAGTCGGGCACCCTATAAAAGAAAGGAGCTTCTAAAAGGGCAGAGCAGTCTCTGCACAGCCCTCTCCCTGGGTGCGGAGCTGGCTACCGTGCCAAGCACATCTCGAGTTCAAAGGGCATCCATGGAAGAACTCGAAAGCTGCCATTAAAATATTACGCAGACACACGCTCTAAGGGGGGCACTGCGCCAGTCTGGAGATCAGACGCTGCTGGGCAAGTGCCGACAGCCTAACAAGAGGGCTCGAACACAAGCATCAAGACTATATTTGTGAAAAGCCCCCCCCCCCATCTTCCACGGCATGATGTCCTGGGGCCACAGGTTACAGAAGCAGGGTTCCCCCCACCCCAACTCCGCAGCCAGACTTAAATACGGGGCAGTCTAAGCGGCAATCATGACCCATAACATCATTCTAATAAATCTTGGTGTACACATTCTCTTTACACATTCCCCCAACTGGGTACATAACACACGAGGGATTGGTTCTACTCCGAGATCGGCTACCGAGTCAATATAAGGGTCTATGTTTGATGGAACAACTCCAAAGGAGTCACGAGTCTCTCAGGTCAAGTGCCCATATTGTATTAAATGCAGGTTCATTTTTAAGTGCTACTGTGGAAACAATTCAGGAGAGTCTGTTAAGGGCCAGATTTTTGATTTCCATATGTAAATTAGGGCAGTTATGGACACACTTTTGCCTTAGAAATTAGACCTGAAAATGGCTGCTCAAACTCACACCTGCAGACACCTAATTAGCCTGCACAACTGCACCTGCAATAGCCAGTGCTTCTTTTTGCTTGTGCATTTGCACAGGTGCAGCTCTGAGCGTCTGGTGTGAAGGACACAAAGGAAATTCAGAACTAAGGTTGAGAAGCTGGTTTTAGCCTGTGCCCACACACCAATGACCAGAGAAATAAACACCCTGCCAGCATTCCACAGCCTTAGCAATGGTGTGGGACGAAAGCTAATTCTCCCTCCTGCTGGGGTAGAAAGAGGCATAGCCCCTCAAGCTACACTGAGTCTGCCTCGTTTGTATAGGTTATCCAGACGAACACTACTAACATTCCAGAGGCCCTCTCACTCTGATGTATGCCTCGGTATGGTTCACGCTAGGGACAATTGGGTAGGAAGGCAAGGAGAAGTGCCCAGAATTTCTCTCTAATCCACATAGATTCATGCAACTTGATATAACAGGGATTAGTCCCATGAGTGACACAACCTGCTGTTCTGAGCCACTGAGGGACACCACTGTTCACGTGCAGCTCAGGAAGGGAATAATGTGAAGGCTGAAGTCGGAGAAGCAGCAACAAAACTGCAACAGGAGGGAATAAGTTTCCTGTTATCAGTGAAATCAGCCAATCAGCTAGTCTCTCCCACAAAAGCAGCACAAAATCATCCCACCCCATTGCGCATGTATTCCTGCTTACAAACGGAGGTCTGGAGGGTCAGAGGTGGAAAGGGGGAGAACTTGCAAGACAAGGAGTCGTCCCACAGATGGAGGCACTCTGATGGCGGTTGAAAGATGCAATCTTTAACAGTCTTCCTCCTCTCCAAAAGGGATTGGGAAAAAAGGACGCAAATTTCACTTGGAGTCAAGCCTTTCCTTATATCCCCGCTCCCACAATCTGCCCCAAAAGAAGCTGTTGGGGAGATCGCTTCTATAATAGCTGACAAGTGATCAATAGCAGGAGAGACGTTAAAATGCACAGTTATCCATCAGCTGCCTCACAGCTGCGGTTCTCCCAGCCCCTGATCCCAGGCTCAAGGCAAAGAGATGGAGGAAACTGGAAAAGGAAGGCAGTTCCCTTGATATGTTATACCTCTACTCCTTCTTCATTCAGTTGCGGATTCCTGCATCTCTTTCTACCCAAGACTGAAGAGAACAAAAGTGTCTGGAAAACTTTTGATCTGTGGATGAGAGAGATGGGGCTCAAACCATAATCCTTCTGCTGCACAGTTACCTGCTGCCTGACTTACAGTCAGCTACCAGTCACTTTAACGGGTCTCTGAGGCAAGCAGCTCCTTTGCTTTCGAAGCAGAACACTGCCAGGTAGGAGATGGTGGTTGGAATTCTGGACTCCTTCCCACCTACCTGCACCTTCCAGCAGAGCTCAGATAGCTATGTTAAGAGTAGCTACAGGAAATTAAGAGCAAAAGCTTCCTGAGATAGCAGCAGTGATTGTGATTTGGGACAACATAGGAGTGAGGGGTGTCACTAGAAGAGAAATCCGTGTTAGGTAGGGGAAAGAATACAAGAACCCTGCAGTATGGGGACAGGGGAAGCCATGAGAGACAGAAGTCTACAGGGGCCACTGAAAAATAAACAAAACGTTCCCAGTGAAGTGTCAGTAAAGCCGCTGAGAGGCACCAGAATGAACCACAGCACCATGGAATTCCTAACTGCTTCCTTTACACTTCCCAGGGGGAAACAACACATCACCGGCACTGGCCTAGCCAGAAATCACATTTCACAGTGGCTGCCATCCAGCGAGCGTGCAGAGGTGACAGTCAGAAATTCATCATATTTAGAGGATTTTTAGTTCTTTAAAACGAGAACTTTAAAAGTCTTTAAAAAGAGCCACTTAAAATGAGTTAAAACTGCAGAAGACTCTCCTCCAATCTGAACTGGTTTTGTTTGGAGTTCCATACTGGGGCCCTATAAAGGGAGCTATGATTCCCCCTTGGCCTCTAGTCAGAATCAGACTAGAGTCCAAGAGGGCCATGCGGGCAGCGAGCTCTGGGAGGAAGCACGAGGGTACCTGTGGAGCTGTTTGCAGTGGAAATCCCTTCTTTTACTGTTGAATCCCACTTTGATTCCCAAACCAAGGGCAGAGCTACCTCAGGTTTTTCCATCAAGGCTGCATTATAAGGAAGGGCCCTGGAGGGGGCGAAACACACATTAGTCATTTTTGAGCCACGCAATAAATTGGCAGGTAATTTGCAGGTGGGGGTGTGGGGTTTTTGGGTGGTGATCAAGTCTTCAAATTGTTAGATTGGGCTGGTTGCAGGAAAGATTTAACACGACACTTCACTGAAGGGTTTGCCTTCTGCAGGGATGTGCCAATGGCTAGAGCAGAGAGCACGTATATAACACGTCCGCTATATCGATTTACACGTTCCTCAACATTGGCCTCTAAGGAATTTTGCTCTGATACATTCTTTTAAAAATGCAAGCATGCTCATTTCCCTCCTGTGTAGGTTCCCTCTCACTATGCAGAGCTGTGTCGCAGGCTATATAGAAAGTACTGCCAGGGAGCAGTGTGGGATTCTGTTTATATTCTAACAGGGATGTGTAGACTTTGGCAAAAAGGTCTTATTGAAAAGTGCATGCTTTTGTTCAGAGGTACCACAGGCAAGGGTTCTGTCCTTGGCAGGAGAGAGCAGAAGCCTTCTTCGCAATCCCTCCTCTGTCCACCAGGGGCCGCCTGTCAAGTCGTCATCGACTGAATGTTTTTGAGCATTTCATCGAAGGCCTCTCGGGACGGTGCTGCAGCATTCTGGAAAGAGACCTTGATCCTGCTGTAGAGGCTGAAGGATTTCAGCTCCAGCCAGATGAACCCAAAACGATCGTCGTCGAAGAGAATGAAGATGCCTGGCGTTCGCTCAGGGCTGGTGAAGCCATGTCCGGCAATGAGCCCCGTGCCATAGAAACTACAGAGAGGGAGAGAAGCAGGAAAAACAACAACATGAACTGCATCATTGTGGCAGCTTAAGATGAATTTACTGTACCAGAGCAAACGTGAGGTCCATCTAGACCAGCCACCAGCGGCTAGGACCTGATGGTTCGGAGGAAAATCAAACGACCCCAGAATGCACCTGAGTAGATGTGCCATGCTGCACAAAGGGGGAGTTTTACCTGCTGACTTTGAAGCAATCAGTTCACGCCCTGAAGCATGAAGGGCCATTGCCTCCATCTTCACAAGCATGAGAACAATGCTACAAACACTCACCTGCTCCTTTAACTGCAGCTACAGTATCTGACTAAGCTAAGGATCGGTACATGGAAGCTAACCTAACATCCCTGCAGCTATACACACGAGGATTTGACTTCAGTTTCAAGGATCAAACCAGACTAAACAAAGGCTGATAGGCTGGGGGCATGAGACCTGCGTAACCAGGCCACATCCTGGCTGTGGAGGAAAGGTGGGTAAAGTTCAGTGCAAAGCCCTTCGCATGCAGTGAGAAGGGCACATCTGAACAGTGCGTTGCTTCTTGTTTGGAATCCGGCCTTTGTGGATTCCTGGAATTACCCGCTGCAAGTTAGTTAGCACAGATGTTTGACTGAGGATCATTTCTGTTTGGATCCAGACTCTTTCCCCCCACCCCTTCATTTAGCAAGGTGCCTCACTGAAGACAGCACCCCCACTATCTAAAAATAAATCATGCTGCAAGCTGCTCTGCATCCCCACAGATCCCATTCATTGAGGGTGCTGAGCACCTTGCAGGATTCGGCTCAAAGCGCACAAGCCCTGAAGCAGAGTCCGAGGGAAAGGGCAGCACATTCCCATGGTCTTGGGAGACAAGTGTGATGCACAGGTAGGAAGGACCCAGCTAGGGAGGATCCTGAGGAACAGGGAGAAAAGGGGCAAGTGGCTCATGGAGAAACAGAGCAATAAAGGTAAAATACGGGAAGGATTATGCCCTATGGCACGATTGGGGCAGGATCTGCAGGGGAGGGGAGATAGAGACAACCCTCCTGTCCCCGCTTGCTATCTGCCAGGAGGTAAAAGGAGCAAAGGAGATTGCACTAGATGGAGCCATAGAGGCTGGAGTACTGATAAGAGATGGTAAGCTCAGACTGAGTGCTGAGGAAGGGGGCATCATGCTTTGGGTATCAATGCAGAAAGGCTCTGGGGGGTTTTCACCCCTATATTTTCCCCTGGGGTTCACGCTGGATGTCCTGTCTGGGCAGGGGAGGGGCAACGAGGAAGCAGTGCTAATAACTGGGCCTCTTTCTGAGCAGGTCTCAGTTGCTTGCGTGGGGGCAGGGTGTGTGGGAAAGGCCGATTAACCACATTCATTTACCACATCCGGCAGGTCCGGGGATAATCCTCGTTCCTCGATATGACTCCCACAGGCAGCACAAAGGGTTGCGAGGTTGGTGCCGACTCCTGGGCTGCTGCTGCCCCCGCAGCCTCTGTCCCCTCAGCCCCAGTGTCATCCCTCTGCACAGGCTGCTCCGCTTGCTGCGAGTCGCCCTGTCGGGAGCGGCCCTCCCCTTCGCTCTGCCCTTCCTCCTCCTCCTGCTGCTGCTGCTGCTCCCGGCGCACCTGCTCCTGCACCTCCAGGACGATGCGGGAGAGCTCATTGAAGTTGCGCAGGTTCTCGATGTCAGGGAGCTGGATGGGGTGCGCCAGGTCGATCTCCACCGTCTGCTGGCCAGCTGGGATATTGGGATCTCCCTGCAGCAAGGAACAGAAACCACGCTTCAGGACACCACGGAATAGAGCTCATGCCAAAAGCTCAGACACTGGTACCCCTGCAGCTGGCCAGCAAGTTTCCTCCACCCTGGCAATGCCCAGTTCCACAACAGCGCCCCCTGCTTGTCAATTAAAAGGTCCCACCCAAATCCCAGCAGCACATAGAATCATAGAATATAAGGGTTGGAAGGGACCCCAGAAGGTCATCTAGTCCAACCCCCTGCTCAAAGCAGGACCAAATCCCAGTTAAATCATGGCCCTGGACCTGCCTGCATCACCCCTGCACCTGGGATATGGCACCAAGGCCCAGCCTGTATGTGGAGACTATCAGAAGAGATGGGACAAACCGAGTGACATGTCAGGGTGGGCCTGCAAGGTTGAAAGGGGTGTCTGTGAGGGGCGGGGGAAATCTCAGTTACAGGTAATCTGCTCCGAGAAGCACATAACCAGATGTTCCCACAGAATGGACTGGGGGTGGGAGGAAGGCGTCCTGGATTCAAAAGCATTTCACAGGCCAGCAGAAGCTCTGCATGGTAGGATTTCGCTGCTGCGCAGGCAGAAGACAGGACAGATAGTAGCCCAGCATTCTGGAAAACCCTAGCATTGGACTATTTGCCTAGATGGCATTTCCCCAAAGGCAAAGAACAGCCAGGCTAACGAGCGTCTCCCCCCTCCCGCCCCCAGGAAATTGTACTTTCTTCTACATAACAATGAATTTGTTCCCACCAATTCCCTAGGTAAGTTGGTTCTGCTGTGACAAAGTTATTATACCCTTCTCTAAGTTACTTATCTGACCCCAGTCACCATAGTATTGAGCGCTTTATTCTCACAGCATCCCGGTGCTATTATCCCCATTTTACAGATAGGAAACTGAGGCACAAGTCAGTGTAATACCCAGACCTCTAAACCCCAGCAAAGTCAACGGAAGCTAGGAGCCCAAATCTGGGCCTTAGTGACTTGTCCAAGGTCACACAGGGCCGAGCAGGAAATGGAACCCAGGTCTCCCAGATCCTAGGCTTGTTCCCTAACCATTGCATCATCCCTCCCTACCCCAGACAATCACCTCTATCACACAGATCCCTGAAACAAGAGAAAGAAAGAAAGGCTGCAGTTTACTACCCTGATTTCAAGGCAGTTGGAACCTGTCAGGGAGCTCAGGAGAGAGAAAAAAAAACACTCACAGTTATTTTAGTCCCTTTGGCTTTCTTCCCATGAAAACTCAGCATGACAATCTCCAGGCCATGGCTCCCATAAGTTCCCTTGAAGAGACCCGGCTTTAAGAGGTCATCAGCGCTGCTAGGAGGCAGGTAGATGCGTCGGTACGTCAAGCAGTTGCTGCAGAACAGAAGCTGGTCAGGCCATTTACAAGAAAACAATGCGATATTGATTCTTCGCCAAGAACTTAGGCTACCCTCCACTCCCCTTGCCTGCCTTGGATCTTCTAAAGAGGTCTGTTAACAAAAGGGGCAAGATCTTCACTTTCTGGTATTTTAAAAAGCACTCAAGATTTTGTATAGCACACATCCACCTACCCCACCTCTCCCAACCCCCCTTCCCCACCTCCAAAGAGTCCGTTTGGCTAAGAGATCTGTCAATCTGCAAAGGCTGTACTTGTACCTAAGCTACAACAGGTCAACCCACCCCTATTTCTGGCAGCACCAGAGGAACCCAAGGTGAGTGGAGCCTATTTAAATATCTGTTGAAGCAATTAACTTCTGATAGCTTTGAAAATGACATTTACTGCTAGTTGGTACGTTCCCAGAAGCTGGCACTGTGTAATTTGTGTTTAGCGCAGTATAAAGCATATTTCGTGCTAAAAAATATAATCAGCAGATGGCCTGCAGGGATCATTGATATTCACATCATTTTAAAATTCAGTAAGATACATTTATTCATGTCTGAACATTGGTGACATCAGAGCAGACCTTTTGGAAGCCTTCTCAAACCATTGCTAGCTTTGAACACTCAACAGCTGCTGCACATCCTCTCTATCTCCTCACTGGTTGTCCCCTACGACGACCCATAACCATTCCTTCCATGATCAGTTTTTCAGGGTTATTTTAATCTCCATGCCTGATGCAACCCAAGTACATAAATTTGGGCCTGTTGATTTCGAAGAGAAGGGGCAGCTTCTCTCCAATAGTATTTCTATAACAGACATTTGTGTTTTCCATCCAGAAGATCTGCAAGAGTCTTCACCAGCACCACATCTCAAAAGCTTCCATTTTCTTCTTGTCAGCAACATCAGTTTCCCATGATTCACAATCATAAGTCACTATTGAGAAAATTAAGCTTTTCACCAGTTCAACCTTTGTATATTGAGACACCATGGGTTTTCCAAACTTTTGTAAGGGAGGCCATTGCTGACAAGCTGGTCCTCGTTGTCTTCTGATTTCGTTGGAACAGCCTTCTCGATTGAATATTTATGATCCCAGATAGTTTAATTCATCTAGTGGCTCTACAACTTGACTTAATCGTGCTGTCCACGTGCATTCCATTTTTGTTAATCACATCAAGGTGCATGCATTTCATTTTCACCTCATTCAGGGATAGTGTATATTAAAAACAGACTCCAACATTCCTTGCATTCCCTCAGTGGTTGTAGCAAAGAGCACTGTCTCATCACCTATCTGAGGTTGGTTAAGAGGTGTCTACCAATGGGAATCTCAGCTCCATCCACTTTGTCAAAACCTCCCAAGGCTTATCTCATAGCAAGTTGTGTACACATGCTGAAGAGGCTTGGGGACAGAAAACACATACTTGACTCTCACCCTGTCCAGTGTAAAACCAGTTGCTATCACCCGCTGCTGTTCGCACTCTGGTCTGCTGTTGACCGTAGAGACTTGCAATGAGTTCAACGAGATGCTTTGGAATCCCCACGTCTGTTGGAATCCTCCGAGAATAGTCAGGTCAGAGGGTATTAACACTTTTGAGTCGTCAATGAAACACGATTAGTGGGAGATTATACTTCCTGCACTTTTCAATGATGCAACAGATGTTCACAATTTGATCATGAATGCCTCATCCCTCTCTGAAATCATCCTGTTGTGAGGGAAGTTCTGCTTTTATCCTTTGCTTTGTGCAATCCTGGATTATCTAGAGCAAAACTTGGCTTGTGTGCGACAACAAGATGATACTATTCTTATTACACTTATGTAATCTTTTTTTTGGTAAGGACAGAAAGATTGGATTCCTTTTGTCCAGCCAATTTCTAGTCATCCACACAGCACTGCAAATTTACCACAAGATCAATAACGCAGTCACCAATCACTTCAACAGTTTTGCTGGTACACTATCTACCCATGGTGCTTTCCTTGGCTTCGCTTTCACAATAGCATGCACGATTTGTTCTCCCAGGATCGATGGCTCCACCTCCATACTCTCTGTATTACAGAGTGGCTCTAAGGAAGGATACAGATTGGCACAATATCATCTCCACTGACATTTGATAACATCACCTTCAGTGAGGGTTCCACCATCATGATCTCTTATTGTGTCTGCTGACAGGGAAAATTTTTGTAAGTCTAACCACTCTAAACATACCTTTTGTTTCCTCTTTTTGGCTCTCAACCTCTGTGCATTTTGCCCTTCTGCATTTGCTCGTCTAATCTAATCTGCTTTTGGAGGTGTAGGCTCAGTTCTTTGTACTTGCACCTTCGTTTTTCAATCTCTAAGCCATTCTTTTTCACTCTACATTGTTATTCTGCCAGCTCAAACATCATCTCTGTCAGCCACGCTGCGATCCAATGCTGACTTTTCAGAATATGTGCTTTAGCAGCTTTGAGCAGGAGTTTTCATTTTATTCCAAAGTGAGTTTGGGGTGTTCTCCTCTTTCTCCTGTACCATTGCCTCAAACCTGTTCTGGACAGAAGTCCCATAGTTTTTGTTGATTCTGGACAGATCCAAACGTAGTAGACCTGCCAAACATCTTATCTTTCAAGTTTTCATTTTATGTTTGAGGCCAACAGCTGACTGCCTGACCCACACGGTGTGCACTCAGGAAAGTCTTTATCCATTAGACCATGATGCTTCCCAGGGGTTTCCAGGGCTGTGAGGCACCTTGCTTCCACCTCCCCTTGTCTGTGCCTGCTGTGGGTCCGTTCCAACACCATCAGCCTCTGACAACACAAGCACTGCCCTCCAGGTCTCCGCAGGCACTATTCTCTCTTCACAGGTCAACGAGAGGCATACACCAACCCTCAAGTCCTCCAGGCATCTCGCTGCAGTGCCCCACCCTTGATGCACTGGACATTTACAGAATTCTCAGATCCTCTGTTCCCAAAAGAACCAGGACACCTCAGCTTACCAGATACACTACAGAACTCAGCTCTGCTTAGATTTGCACTTAGATTTGTTGGCAGCTAAAGCAAGTTTAACAAAGAACAGAGATTCAAATGTACTGGAAAGAAAGGGTTACATATAAAACACAATCATAACTTGCATACTAGAGCCTAAACTTAACTCACAAGATGCCCTGCTGTCTAACTGTGACCTTAAGAGCCACTGGCAGAGGGCCCACTGTAGTGTAACTCATATCAGGCCTGACATACTCATTACACTCAACACGTTGAAGTTGCAGCATGTCTAAAAGGTGTCATGTAAGATACCACCCATACACTGGCGACCCACTGGTCACAGAAATCATTGTGTGATGTATGTATGGGTAGTGCATTAAGAGTAACGTATGGGAGCTGGAAATATGTTCTTAAAATGCCTTTGGGAGGCAAAGGACAATGGAAGTTTCTTTCCATATCCAATAAACAAAGCCAACAAGCAGCAGTTTAGTAAGAACACCAGAGGACAAAGTCTGCACCCCAGGACAACTTCCTGGCTCTTGAGGCACAGACTATGGGTAATATAAAGGGAGCAATTAGACATCTGAGTTCTCTATCACTTGGGGAACAGCACCATTTTATTCTGTGAACAGTGGCTCCCCTGCCCTGGAGGGCTGGAGATGCTGGTAACTTGATGCGAGTAAGAAAACTGCTTAGGCCAAGACTGAACCTTGCTACGATTAAGCTTTAGTCACTAGAAAGCGTGCTTTATTTTGTTTCGTCTGTAACCATACCTCTCTTTCTCTTGCTTAGTATCACTTAGATCTCTGTCCTTTGTTGTTAAACTTACTCTTGTTTTATTACAAAACCCTCTCAGTGCTGTGTATTAAAGTGAAGTGTGAGTCTTCAGACTGACCTAACAGGCTGGTGTGCTCGGTCTCTTTGGAGGCAGCAAATCTAATAATTTCCACGTGTCCAGCGAGAGGGTCTGAACACTGCAGAGACATCTCTGGGGGAACTCACATTGTTACCTGCAAGGCAAGCAGCATCTTGAAGAGTTTGCTGGCAAGGCAGACAGACGTGTGTGTCAAGGAGCTGATACAGCTTAGTGGCAGCAAAGCTCTCACTTGCTGAGGAAGAGGGGTAACAAGTGGTTCACAGCCCTGGATGTCCTGAGCAGGATGTCACACTAATTAAATCTATCTTACCCAAATTCTTCTCCCAGAGTTTCTCCTGGCTGTGATCCTTTTTAATGAAACAAACCCACTGTCAACTTACCTCCTAGGTGAAAGATGCAGATTGAGTCTCTGTAGCTGCAGTTATAGTCCGAAAAATCCATTGTTTTCACTTGCAAGCAGAATAAACCTGCTTGTGTTTTCCTATCTGTAATTTCCCCTGGAGACTTTGCAATCACTTGATTAGCATTTCGCTCAGAGTGTAAATATCCCCTGTAAATACTTCACAATGAAGTATACAATACTCAATTTACATGTAGACAGAAACTTCTGCCTGAAAGAGACTTGTTTACCACTTCTGGTGGCTGGCCCCAACTCACAGACTTTATAAAGATGATTTCCAGCATATGCGTACACACACCCCTTACATATTATCTGTACATACATTTTGCAATGACAATGACGACCAGTGTGACACAGGCTTTCAGTAGAGACCTTACACAACACTGTGGTGAACTAGTACATAGATCCCAGACCCAGGGGATCTCTGGAAACTTTATGCACCCAGTGTCCTCTGGTAGTCAGCATCAAGAGCTCCCTGAGACAAACACTCAATCTCCTTTATTGCTGCATTGTTACCAAGTCAATTTGGTTCCTAGCCATACTGTCAGGTGACATCCACATGCATAACATCTAGGGTGTTGGGTGAAGACGGTGTTTGTAAGGACCAACTGATTACAGCAGCAGAATTCAACTAAACCCCTTCCTCTCTCCTTTTATAAACCCACACCACTGTTTCCCACTACTTCTTTATGAGAGCTTACAGCTCCAACTTTCACATTCAGGTCCTCAATCACAAAGGAGATCTCTTTGCTTGGCGTTTTAATAAGCGTCTTCCTAAGCCACTCACAGAATCCTGTGCTGGGGACTGCACCTTGCTGTGGTGGGAAGGCTTGTACAATTTTAAGATCACACAAAATCAAATGACCCAAAGCCATCTACTGGGCACACAGCTATTCCAAGTAACCGTATGGCCTATCACTGTGTCCCCCTGCTGCATCTTATCTTTCACTACGCTTACAGTAAGGAACTGTCTTACCATGTGTTTGTACAGGGCTCAGTGAAACAGGGCCCAATCCAAATTAAGGTCCTGGGGTACTATCATAATCCAGATGATGGACCAGATGAAGACTATTACATACATTCATTTTCTGTGCAGAAAATACCATCCTCTCTACAAACACAGCAGAGGCCCCTAAAACAGGAGCCTGTGGAAGGGAAAAGATCCATTCACATGTGTTGCAACAAGGTTATCAGTTAACCAGGAAGACCAATCCAACAATACAGCAGTGAACTGGGCTAAGTTCAGGTGCCCCTAACCCCGATGTTTAGGAAAGAGCTGGGTCTCCTTACTCGTATTGGCTGGTGTAGATGAACTTCATCAAGATGAGCTCTTGCATGTGCTCATGGAAGATATCCTCCAGAGTCCGGCCCCATTCTTCCCTCAGCCACGTCCGGAATTCCTGCAGCGCGCACGCAGAGGAGAGACATGTAAAACCAATGAGCCACTCGCAGACAATTTATAATTGGGACGGTGCCTTAGCTGCACAGCATCACTCTTGGCCTTGCAACAAAATTCACGTAGATGGTCAGCGAGGAAAAAGCCCATGCGCCCAGCTGGTTATGGAAACAAAAATACCTACTACTTTATACAGTCCTTCTCATCCCCCACCCTCACGGCCCTTCATGAAAGGGGAGCAGGACCACTACCCCCATGTGAATGACAAAGAAACTGGAGCACAGAGTGGAAGTGACTTGTCAGACTGGGAATGGGACCCAAGTCCTTGTTGTCTCGGTCCTGACCCCATCCCCTGGATCATGCTACATGGTGTATTGATCATCAGAAAGGAGGAAGACTCAAAAACACTAGAAGATTGAGGAAAATAAAATTCCATTGACTTGTAGAATTTGTGCTCCTAAATCCCAGGCTCTGGGAAACCTGTCTCAACAGCAGCTCTGAGCAATCTCTGAAAAGCTACTACTTTAAGGTGAGTTACAATTTCATGACAACAGCATCCCTACTGAAGATATCAGCCTCTCAAGCAATCTTCTGAACCTGCATTCTTTACCTTCTAAATACAGAACCACCAGTTACTACGCTCTCTCTCACACTTACCCAACACACTGTTTCCAAAGGACTGTACGCACATTATTCATCTGCTATGGAACTGACCAAAAACTTACCTCTGCAATACATCAGTCCTCTACCAGTAAATCACTGGGGGGAAAGGTTGGTTTTTTAGCTTCACAGATGGCACAGTTTCAAGTATGAAAACTCAGAGTCAGATTTTAGCTAGATGGACTCCTAACTGAACTTCTCAGCAATGAGCATCCCTACACTGTGCAGCAGTTAACAGAGAAGCTCTCTCATGACACATCTGCTTTCTCCTCTTGACAGGCAGAGCTGCTGTATTTAATTATATTACTCCTGCACTGCTAACCAAGGTTTTAATCCCTCATCTCGGCAGACAGGCAGTAAAAGGAGCAGCTCTTACCATAATTACAAGAAAACAAGGCACGCAAGCATGACTGATATTTAATATCGTGCCTGTTTGTGACAGGCCTAACTTCACACAGGTCTCAGCACCCTGTGAGAGCTGTGAAGAGCGTGAAGGCTGCTTGCATTATTCCAGACTGGGCTGCCGAACCGCAACCCGAGGGGTCTGACATGGCATAGGAAGAACAAGGACACTGTGGTCCAAATCTTGCCACATGCTGAGAAGCGAGCGGGGAGCTGAGGATTGCTCATTGTCTTGTAACTTTGGCACACAGACAGAAACGGTCCTTCTTGCACGCCGTTGTGTTTGGCTATTGCAGCACATATGGTGCGGCAAAGCAACCAATAGTGCTCCAGTATTACAGACGTCTCCCAACAAGGTGGCTGTATAGTCTGAGTACTGAGCTGGTCCGCTGAACTGGAGTGTGAAGCCAAGCCTTACCCAGTAGCAGAAGAGGTTCCTTTGGATTGTGCAATACACAACACAAATATGCATGTGATGATTTTCAAATGGCAGCCCAAGGGCCAAGTGCAGCCCGTACCTGACGGTCTCCTTGCAACAGCAGGAGGAGGATAAATTTGGTCTGCTACAAGTTTTACCAAGGGCAAATTCAAACCACAAGTTATTTCTATCCATTAGAAAAGCCCCAAGGACAGAAATTGCCACTGATCAGCCAGCTTTGTTTTTTCCCAATACCTGTAAAATTACACACAAGTGGGCACCTTAGGAGTCGTATCCCAGCTCCCATCATGACCACCCAGATCACAAAGATTTGGGACCTGACAGTAACATCACACCCTGCTGAGCCTCACGAACACAGTTAATCCCAGTGTATTTAGATGGCTAGGCAAGTGACAGACTCTTTCTGGCCAGGCTAGAAGGGACGCTGTTACCTCTTGCCTTCCTCCTGACATCCGATGGTGATCTGTCTGGTTGCACTTCGTGGAGAACTCGTCCTTCTTTACGATCTGCAGTTATTGGGGAGGAGAGCTCAAGTTAGCAGCAGACGGATGTAGCAACGTAACAAAGGCTGCGTCAAACAGAATCCTAATGCGACAACTGGATGGCAAGATTTACGCAGTTTGCCAACCCCTCCAGGCTGCACTGATGAAACAGTGGGACTCCACAGGTGATGGCTAGAGATAATGGAGACAAAGGCTGAAGCACTTGATGCAGCAGCTCCATGCTCTGAGGAAAGGGAGCGAGTTGGCATCATTCCAAGGGAGATTCCCAATGTCAAGCTGCCTTCCACATTTAAGCCCCTTGTTTCAAGGAGCAGAATCTCCCTAGAATTTGTTTCTTAAACATCCCACCTACCCCATGGCTTATCCCAAGTACCCTCCCCAAGGCCCCTACACGGGATGACAGGTCACTTGGACACATCAGTGCATGGGACCATTTATATACACTCCTTCCCTTGACTCCCTCACCATACTTTATAACTGGTGCTCCCACGCTGGCTGATCCATCCTCTCCAATGCAGGGGCACCAACTGAAAGCAAGGCCTCAATGTGCTATCAGCCTAGAGATCACAACTGATCAAGAGATGGCCTAAATCAGTGGCTCTCAACTTTTTCAGACTACTGTGCCCCTTTCAGGAGTCTGATTTGTCTTGTGTACCCCCAAGTTTCACCTCACTTAAAAACTACACTTAAAAACTTGCTTACAAAATCAGCCATAACAATGCAAAAAAAAAGTGTCATAGCACAGTATTGCCGACTTTCTCATTTTTACGATATAATTATAAATCAATTGGAATGTAAATATTGTACTTACGTTTCAGTGTATAGTATGTAGAGCAGTATAAGTAAGTCATTGTCTGAATGAAATTTTAGTTTGCACTGACTTGGCTAGTGTTTTTTAGGTAGCTTTTTGTAAAACTAGATAAGTTGAAGTATCCCCTGGGGTATGCGTACCCCTGGTTAAGAACCACTGGCCTAAACAATCCCTTGCAGTCACTAAAGGAAAGCCAATTGAGCAGACGCACAGAGAAAAGCCTTGCACGTGACCCATCACGGTAGTGACGTCACATTCTCAACCACTGGGTACTTTTGTTTACAGGCCCAGGGAATACAAACTCTTCCTCAGTGCCTGGTGCCCAGGTTAAGCAGCCAGACTCACCTGTGTGTGGGGAGGGGAGGGAGGCACAGGCTGGAGCTTACCTGGATATGGCCATTGTGTGGCCCCTTGTGGCCGTACATACACTCGACAGTCGCACTTTTCCTCTCCATTAAGTGAATCCGGAAAAGGGGCTTGAACCTCATCGGGTCATCCACATGAGGGTCATGAGGGGGCAAGTACATCCAGCCAATGATAAACAAGCCATCTACCTGCGAAGAGGTGGGAGAAGCAAATGGAGTCAATGCTCCCCCGTCCTTCATTCATTGGGCAGCAGCTGTTACCTCAGCCCCAGAACCTCTACAGTTAGGGAGCAAGGTGGTTCTCCCGCAGGACACTGAGGAGCTGTTCTCAACAATCAGATGCATTTCCAGTGCTAGACAGCTGCTTTCTGATGCCCAGATCCCAGCCCAAATAGACACAGTGCAGCCTCTGTGAGGGGGAAGAATCACCCTTTATAGGGCTTTGTTTCATGGGATAAGCATTCACGTCTATTACTGCAAGCAGCTTGGTGCCAGATACGCATTGGGCTTTGGAGAGAGAGATTATGCTGAGGCTAGTCAAGCTTTAATTGGTTTGTGACGAGCTCATGCTGCCAGTGATTCTCTTACCGGGAGGACTTCTAGTCTCCATAATTATGTCTGGCTTTTGGATGATGAATTGTTGTGTGCTATTACTCACTGCCAGTAAGGAAAGCAATGATCCCCTTCACTTGCTAAGACGCGTAAAAGAGCCAGCCTTTCTTTCTGCAAACCTCATTGAATCCTCACCCCACAAAGGTAAAGTGGCTTTGAAGAGCAAATATTCTTTAATGGAGATTTCTCCTGAAGACCCAAGGAGAGATCAGCACTGCAGTCTCTCTTCACAAGCTAACAGTATTGAACAACTAAACCAGTGGAACTCATTGCCAGGGGATGTGATGGCAAAAACCATAACTGGGTTAAAAATACAACTAGGTCCATTGATGGCTATTAGCCAAGATGATCAGGAATGCAGTGCCATGCTTGGGGTGACTCTAAACATCGGAATGCCAGAAGCCATGAATGAGAGACAGGGTAGAGCACTCTGAAACTGCCCTTCCCATGTACACTCCCCGTGGAACTCTGGTACGGTCACACTGCTGCAGCCAGATGCTCTTGATATAACGCTCTGGAACACATATTTCTACAAGAGAGCCTTGTGCTCAAAGGTTAACAAACTCAATGGGTTTAGTACGTTAAACTGGCCAATCCATGATCCTTGGTGCAGAGGATATCAGAAGGCATCAGGCAAGACTCTATCCTCAGCCTTTCAGAGTAATCCCAATAATCCTAAACCCAGAGAGGCAAAATGACATTCAGCAGCTCTTCTGTTTCTCTAGACTTGGTCTCATTGTGGTCCTAACACAAAGCTCACTGAAGTCAGTGGAAACGTTTCCATTGAATTCAGTGGCTTTGGATCAGGCCCAGCCAGTATCATTATGTCTGATGTACTGCTCTTCAGGGACTAGTCACTCTGCAGGTAAAGGTATCACATACTGTGGCAACGAGGCTATGAGGCAGCCAAGTGACCTGCATATGGAGCATCTTAACCCAACTCTTCCTAATGCAACGCAGTGAACGCCAACTTATGCCAAAGGCAGAAGCATAAAAGTTTTAAAGGAGCTTGTATGAAATTGTTGCCAGAAGCTGATGCAACAAACCTCTAGCACATCTCTGTACTCACCACCACGTTCAGCAGTCCCCCATACGGCCCAATGTCCGGCTGCCATAGTCCCAAGATGAGTCGGTATCGGTGCAGCACTAGGGAATAGGAGACAAAGCAAGACATTTCACAAAGAACACAGCAAGAGGGATTTGAGGGGAGAGGAGGAGGCTGCCATAAAACTGCACAGGTTGTCGACTGACACCCCCTCAAACAGGGTCCTTACTGGGGTTGGGAGAGAGAATCCCAGTTCTCCCAAACCCAGGGAGAGGGGCCAATTCTGAAGACTTTCAAAAAGCTGTCACTTGAAGCCTACTGCAAACGCACACTATTCTCCTGCACAGCTTCACGCCCAGCTGGGAGAAGTGGTAAGAGCTAGCTTTTAAAGGATTTACAAAGGCAGCGATCCAAGGACCCAACTGGCGAATAACTTTCCATCAGAAAATCCTCTCATTGAGATCTGTCAATAGGCATCACATGCTCTGCTTGGAGCCTACAAGTGCAGGCTATCCACTTCCCTGACCACAAGTAAGATGCTCTCGACACCAGACAGCTCCGATTTCATAAAGCTGCGAATGCGGGGGGGATCCAGAACATACAAGTAGGGGAGAGCAGGGAAAGCAAACAGCGTTTGCTTTAAGAGACCATCCCCTTCTTGTCCTACCAGACAGACGCACCCCCATGCCTCCACTTAAGCACCTGATCCTCGTCAGATTCAACCACTAAGATGGCAACTGGCAGCTCACACATCACATAGCTCCTGAGCGCAGCATCCGATGACCAGGTGTCATTACAGATTCGACACATACAGAAGACCTTGAAGAAATCTCAATAGGTTACTGCATTTCAACGTTTCCTCAAAGCTGCTCCCAAGCATTGTGTACTGTACCATATCTTGTACTTTGGATCCCCATCTCGGAGCTAGTTAAGATTTAAATCCTATGGAAAAAGGGGGCAGAAGTAGGAAAGTTTTCCACAAACTGCAAACACAGGTGATTCTTTGAACACTGACAAATACAGCCTGCTGCAGACAGGAGTCATAAGGAACTGAAGGTGTCCACTACATCATATGCCTGCCTTCCGTGGAAAATACAGAGGCTGTTCATCTCAGATTCTAAACATAAGCATCAGCTGACCCATAATATGAGAGTACATTTACATGAACAAAGGACATAGGACTGGAAGAGACCTCCTGGGTCACCATGTCGAGCCCTCTCCATCGCAAATAACCATGTCATCATAGGAGTAGAGAGGTTATTGTACCTCTGTATTTGGCACTGGTATGGCCACAGCTGGAATCCTGCGTAAAGTTCTGGTGTTCACAATTGAAGGATGTTGATAAACTGGAGAGGGTTCAGAGAAGAGCCATAAGAATGATTAAGGGATTAGAAAACCTGCCTGATAGTGATAGACCCAAGGAGCTCAACCTATGTAGTTTAACAAAGAGAAGGTTAAGGGATGACTTGATCTGTAAGTATCTACATGGAAAACAAATATTTTATAATGGGCTCTTCAGCCGAGCAAAGAAAGGTCTAACAGGATCCAACGGCTGGAAGTTGAAGCTAGACAAATTCAGACCGGAAATTTTTAATTTAACTAGGCCAGACTGAGCTGGAGTGAATCCTGTTACTGGAAGAGTTTAAGCCCAAAGTGGATGTGTTAAAAAGTAATTGTAAAGCACTACACAGGAATATTTTCATTATTTAAATGCCACAGCAAAGAGGTGTATTTGGGATCAAGGACACTGCCGAGGGCTGTTTAAGTGCCAAACAGCCCCATGCTCGGGAAGAACTGGAAAAGCAACAGGAGAAATAAGAAATAGGAATGATTGGCCCAATTTCACTCAGCCCATGGAGTCAAACTCTAATAGCAAACTGCATGAAGGATACAAAGTGGATCAGATTTAAAATCGTCTAAGTGCAGTTACTATGCACATACCATTTAATACACAAGAAACCCCACTCATTGATACCTGCCTCCTCCACCTGGTTTGTGTACACAGCTGATAAACGCCAGTGGCTTTTAAGATTAGAACTGAAAACCTGACGTTAAGCTGTTGAACGCAGACAGCGCTGAACTGGAGGAAGAAAAGCTCTTCCATTAGAACCATCTTCAGGGCTAATGCTCCAAATAAGAGTCTTGTCTTAATGCCAGACTTTTAAATATAAGAAAGTGCCTGTTCAAAAGAGGAGAGACTTGTACTGAACAAGGTTCATAGACTTGGTTTCTGGGTAATCAGCCAGCTCCAGATTAGTTCAAGGAAGGCCATGTTTGCTTAGGGAAAGTGGCTGACTCACAGCAACATCCAGATCAGTGAGTCTGACACAATCACCCTTGAACTTTGATTCAAATCTGTTCAGCCTTCCAATGGCAGGCAAATCTAACTGAGCAGTCAGAGGCTTAGATGCCCTCCTCTCGCCAGTAATGTGAACGGCTTTTTAACAGCTGTTCAGAGCCAGAAAACTCCCTGATCAGCTGAATGGGAATAGACTGTTGCCAGACAGACCCTGCAACCTGAGCAGCATTGAAAACTAACTGCAGTCTCCCCACCCCCTCCCTGGAACTTGCTAACAACCCCCTTTGGAGGCAGGCAAAGTGTCTCAGGTGGATAGCGGATGGTCTGCATCTTGGGGGGGGATGGAGGGGGCGGCTTTGTATTTTCTCCAGGAAAATGCTAACCTTTGGGCTTCTTACCCGTGATGGCTTCATTTCAGACTGTGAGCAGCGCTGCAGTGCCCAAGCCTCAGGCAGCCCAGCAGGTGAATTCCCTGCAGTCAAGACCTGGTTAGTTACAGCTCTGATACCCACAAATGGGGGAGATTAGGGATGACCCTGCCAGATCTCTCCTGATTCTGGATGGAAGCACCACACCTCTCTCCTTTCCAATGGGCTCCCCTCCTCTCTTTGTGCCTCCAAAGAGGTGGGGAAGATAGAGATGCTCCCTAAGAAGGGGTCCCTTTGGGCTATAGGCCCCTTTCCCCATCAAGGGGATCTGTGTAGGGATTTCCTTCTGGTGGTCCTGAGCCAGATTCAGCTTTTCTGGCTCCAATGCATGCTGCCCCTGGTCAGGAGAGGTTACCTCTAGTAGGGTGATGGATGTGTCCAGTCTCAGCAGCTCATTCAAGCAGCCAACAAGGGGCGGCCAATAAGCATCAACTGTGGCAATGTCTACAACAGAGGGCTTGTCTACACAGGGGTGCTCTTGTGAAGTGAGCTGGAGTGTGAGTTTAAAGCAGGATAGCTATTCCCTCATGTCGACAAACCCAAGGATGCATCTGCTGGAAACTGACCATGACCCACCGTTCACAGGGCCCTCAGGCAGCCATCAGATAGGAGGCCATTTGAAAAAGGGATTGTATCCAGTTGGGGAAGGGGCAGGAGGAGGCACAGTCCCCTAGCTTCCTTAGGAGGGAGTTTGCTTTGGCAAGCTCCAGTATCAGTGTTATCCAGCTATGGTCAGATAGGAGAAATACAGAGAACACCACTGAGCCCATCCAATGCAATTCAACCAAGCGAGATCTACGCAGCTGGGACATGCCAGAGAGAGAACAGCACAGAGATGCTGTGATAGCCCTGGAGATATTCTTCAGAAGGGGATGGGGAACACTTCAGATGCCATGAACATTAACTAAATATTCTCTCATCACCAGCATCCGGCTTCTACCACCTGGTGACTTTAAACACAAATACTGGAGTTTTCAGTGAAATCTGCAATCTCCAGAGTGAGGGGAGGGGAACAAATGAAAGGAAGCTAAATCAATGACCCATCACAGCTGTGTCTGCAATTCTTTAAGGCTCATCCGCAGAGGAAACAGGCATCAGACGGAGGTCATTTGGGAGGGTGGGGGGGACAACCAAGAAGTTCACCATTGGGGGAACAGCCTGAAACACAACTTCAGAGCTGCTGAAAACGACACACTCGCTATATCAGTTATTCACTAAATCAGTAAAGCTATTCTGATTCCTGCTGGGCAGCTTGGCATCCCCGTTTCACTTCCTTCCAGGTGGAGAACTGGGCTGGTGGGTGCATCAGAGGGTCCAACTCAGACATGATATCGCCACAGGTTCCTGTTATGAAATGGTCACTGCTTTGCCAGGCTACTTCACTCATCCTAGTTCATGTTGAAGTCATCAGTTCCAGGGCTGCTTCAAACCCTCTTTGGCTGGCTGAAACGCAATGGCCGCCTTTAAGACTTTAGTGCAGGTGAGTCCATAGCATCCACACCACGTTAGCACATGCCATGAAACCGCACTCCCAAGCACCAGTGAGTTAGTATCTCCATCCTGCATTACCCTCCTCTGCAAAATAACCATGCTATCATCCCCAGATCAACAGCAGAGGTGGCTTTATACATACCCCCAAGGACAAAGCAAAACTGGTTTCTCTCACTCAAGTTCATTCATTAGATCAAAGTCCCACCATGCTCCAGACCCAGAGCATTAGACTCTTGGGCCTTGCTATTCTTCCCTTGATACATTAATCGTGGTGAGAGTTATGTTCACTCATGGAGAAAGGACAGTTTGTTGGGCATAGATGCTCCATTGGAGAGTACATCACAGGCTCTGAAATGCTATGGAGACCTGCTCTCTTTAGAGCTGTTTGCAGCGCAGAGCATGGAAAGGTATTCTGGCATACCGGGAAGTGTGCTAACAGAGCAGAGGATGGTACTGGGACTCTCATATTTTGCAACAATAAAGGCTGAATTTGTAGTTTTCCAATAGCACAAGGATGGCACCTGATTTGGATAAAGTGACATAAATCACATCATTCAGATCAAGTCTGAGTATGGCAAGCAGGAGTCTACAGTCTCCGTAGATCTATTCAGGTTCTTATACTGCATCCCTCACCATGGTATCAGAACACTCTCTCCATTAAAAGCAAAGGTGGCCATAGACTGACTAGGCTTGGCAAAACACCCCGGGGGGGGGAGAGAGTGGTTAGTTTTGGTATTTTGTTTGTCTTTTTTACAATTTTGACTGTTATCAATATTTTTAAGCTTCTTTTTATTTTTCATCTGTTTAAATTTTCACAGCCGTGCAAAATTTTGGGTTTTAAGCATTTTTCATTGAGTTACATTTTCACAGTCACCAGAAATTATGGGAAGGGTCGGACAATCTTTATTTAATGACAACAGATGTTGAGATTCAAAAAGCTACACAAAGTTAACACACAAAACGTCAACATCACATGTCAAAAATATACAGAGAGTAAATATCCTTCAGTCAAACTAAGAAATTCTCAAGCAGCCTTTTCTCTTACTTTGCCTGGCTGTAAATTTCTTAACAGCATCATTGGAAATATTTTTCATTCGTTTGCGTGTGTATGGTAGATAGTTTACCAATAAAACACTAACTTTTCCAAGCCTAACTACAGCACAGAACTTGGGGTCACGTTTGGACTGCAGGCTGCACTAGAAGGCACCAAGGTAAAGGTGATCCCTAATGTATTGCCTGTGAGCGAACCATAGCTGATTACTCCAGGGTAACTCTTTATTTTCAGTAAGCTACATGCACCCAAGGAAACTTGAGTTTAAAGGTCCCATAAGTAGCAGAATCATGGAGCTTTCTAGCATAAATTTTGATTCCTAAACAGGTTCAGATTTTCAGGGTGTACATAAGCAGAGACCCCCAGTGCTCATTCACACACTGGCAGAGTTCACATTCTATCAAGGTTACATTTCAGGAGCTCTCCCTACAGAAGGAGGATAGGTCTATCAGTGGCTATTAGCCAAGATGATCTGGGATGCAAACCCATGCTCCGAGTCCCTAAACCTCTGACTGCCAAAAGCTGAGGATGGATCACTCAATAATTGCCCTGTTCCAGTCATTCCCTCTGAAGCATCTGGCACTGGGCACTGTCCAAAGACAGGACACTGAGCTAGACAGTGTCATTGTCTGACCCAGTATGACCATTCTTATGAAACTTCCCTTTGTTAGGTTTAAATAAAAATCCTGAAGTCCAGAGTGTTTTTTAATTTTATTGGGGGGAGGGAGCAAGAAGGAATTCCCCTCTGTAAACGACATGCCTCCAGCAGTGATACCTGGGCTGCCAAGTCCAGTGATCTCCCACCTACATATCAGAGAGAGGGGGACTACAGTTCAGAGAAATCTATGGGAAAGTTTCAGAACTGACAACACTTAGACTCATCCAGGGAGATGAATAAAGGGGACATATCTGCTCACACCCAAGAAAAAGCTAACCGGTAACACCCATGTTCCTAGCTTTGTCTATCTAGGGAAGTGGTTTCTCGGCTTGCGGACCAGTCAGCACACAGCAGTGGCCCATGTGACATCCTCAGGGCCAGAAAGGTAGTATTGGATGCGACCCACAATGGTAAATAGGCTGAGAAACGCTGATCTAGAGTCTGTTAGTGTCATTTCTGGGGCTGGATGGAATTGGCCTCAAGAGCAATGCAAGCAGCGCTCCTCCTTCCCCTAATGGCAAGCTGGAATGTGTTATCTCCACCATACACCCAAGCCCACTGCCCTGGAGAGCATCTGCTACCTATACCTAGTTAGTTTCCACCACAGAAAGCCATGAATAGGATGCTCTCCTAACCCCCAGCACTTCACCAGAGGGGTGAATACTATTGTCCCTATGTTACAACTACCTAAGGTGTCATCTTAGAGGGTCAGAACAAAGTACATGAGAACCAAATCACGGGAAAGCCTGGGTGACAGCTCTCCTTATTCTGCCCCCAAAGTAGTGGTTTGTAGTAACTTCACACGCCATGCAGCGCCTCGTGTGAGTTCAGTGCAGAAAGCGTTTGCCAATGGGAGGTACGTACGGCAGGTGTAAACATCTCTGTACTCCATGTGTTCGTAGTCGGGAAGGATTTTCATAAAACGCCCCGACTTCACTCGTGGATTTATACCTGGACAGACACAGCAGGGTAAGTACCAGAGAAGTTGATTCCCCTCTGACCATCACATAATGTTAATCCGAACCAATCAGACAGGAAGGTCAAGTCCCTTGTTGATTTAAGGCGCACTTCTTCAGCCCCCAGCCCAGATCAACCACTCAGAAGAATTCGGCACATTTTATGATTCCCTCATAAGTTATCGATGTCACCAAACAAATTCTGAATGGAGTCTGCGCTTATCTCAGTCTACGCAGGACAAGAGCAACCAAAGGTTTTTTCCTCTTTTCACTCTTCGATCCAGCTAATTGTTTTCGAAACACCATCTAGCATCTGTTTCATTATGCCCTCTAAGATCTTGGGTTTGGCTTTGTTCCCAATTGTCTTAGCGTAGCATGTAGAATAGAACAAACATTCATTGTTTGCACCTTCAAGCCTGAATTCTGCCAACAGTTCCAAATAAATTTTGCTGTAACTAAAGAGTTCTACATGACACTAGAGAACAAGGACACAGCACCAGGCAATTCTTTCAGGAAAGCTGAGCAAGAAAGCACCAGTAGGTTTGTAAACAGATTTTTGCTGAATCTAAACTGATTGCAAGCCAAGGATTTCATATCCCTGCAACCAGGGTAAGGTTCAGGAAAGGAAGAATGAGCTGACAAGTGTTCTGACTCTGCCGAAGTCTGAAGAAATGGCACAGGTCAGGATTCAGATTGCCAGAAGCGTGGCAAGAGATAATTTACAAATGGAATAGAGTCTATAGCATGCTTTCTACCGTGTAAAACACTATGTTCTAAAGTGCTAAATGCTCACCAAGGACCTATTCCAGTGGAAGGAGACTAAAGATGTTACCTATATTAAGAGGTGCTTTCGTAATGCCGAAAGACCCCAGTCATTGGCGGGATTGAACCGGGAACCTCTGGAGCTTAGTGCATGAGCTTCTACTGCATGAGCTAAAAGCCAACTGGCTGTCAGGTAAGGCTGTGGAGCAGACTCATTTTATCTCTCTCTTTAAGTGGTCTCAGTGCCACCAGATGGGACAGAACACCACACCCAGAAGGTGTGCGGGTTACACTTTGAAGTGTAAAGAATCAGTGGGAAAAGTTGCAAAAACAGGACCATATCAGGTACGTGATTAATAGATAGTTTGGCTACGAGAAAAGCCACACTGCACAGCAAAGAAGGGTCTGAAATGACTGAGGTTTCCTTACACACTTTCGAGTTCCCCTGTGTGGCCTCCTAGGGAGGTAAGTGGTACCATTCCCATTTTACAGATAGGGAAACTGAAGCATGGGGAGGTGAAGTTACCTGGGTCAAGGCCACACTGCAACGGTCTCAGAGCCTGGATCAGAATTCAGGATTCCTGGCTCCCAACACGAGGTTAAATGCACAAGGCCACCACTGCCTCTGACAGTCAGATAAAGCACAAGGTCCATTTGAAAGGAGCCAGACATCCTGGGACCAGCAAAGCGCACTCAGGACTCTCACTCTGGTGATGTACAAAGACAAATGCTTTCATTTTTAACAAGCTGAGCCCTGCTTCTTGTAAAGGGCCATGGAACTGCAGACCAACCACTGGAGCCAATGGTTTGTCACTGCTGATTTCCTAAAGATTCTGGGTTGTTCCATCTCCTGCTAGACTAATTCAGCATCAGCCTTGGGGACCCATGAAATGCCTGGGTCCCTTGATTTTGGTGGCAAGGACAGATCAATTCACTACTGTGGGGCTTGTGTCATCCAGGCTGCTGCTGGGTTGTCACAAGCACTCTCCCAGCTGGTATCTGCAGCTGAACCAGCTCCTGTGTTAAACAGCCCATGTAGCTTCTGACCCATTAGCATGAGAGGCAGCTTGATCTTGTTAAGTAGGGAACTCCTATATTCAAATGCCAGTTCAGGGTCAAGTCCCTAATCTGCCTCTTCCTTCCCCACCCCCGTAAAATGGGGATGGAACTCACCTACCTCCCAGGGGGCTTGTGCTGACCAAGGAGTTTGTGTCTGTAAAGCACTCACATGCAAGTGGCAACACTCATCATAACGCATGGGCTGCAGCTGCTTATTTGGAGTTGTGTCCTGGAAACAAGTTGTGATGCTGTATGGAATCTAGGGGACACTTGAGACATTATGAATATCAATATTGTAAAATTGTAATGAGTTATGCCAGGTAGGCCATGTAAGGTATCTGAAAAAATATTATAATTTGCCAGATATGATAATCTCATTTTTGTGTTTGTATTGAGTTATAGATATGTCTGTCTGTATTTCAAACTTGTGCTATGCTTTGGGTGACACCCACAGACAGTTTGGCATCAGCACTGCCAAGTCTGCTTGATGGCCCATTAAGGACCATCAGCTGTACAACTGATCCATTGAGAGAAGACGGATACACCTTATGACTCAGCAAGGCACACAGGGACATGCCTATGGACAGAACCCTAAGGCTTTCAAGCCATGTGCTGGGCAGCGTGTGTTTCAAACAAAGGAAGTGCAGGCCACATGGCAAAAGACTGTAAAAGGCAGCTGCTCTTCTCCATTTTGTCTTCAATCCTACTTCTTACTTCTGGAGGAACTTTGCTACGAACGGAAGCTCTGAACAAAGGACTGAATGACCCATCCAAGCTGTGGATGTATTCAAGAAGGACTTTCAAGCCAGCAAACTCACCAATACTGCTAGGAACCTGATATATGGACTTTGAAGTCTTTATATGTATGTGACTGTTTTACCATTTAACATCTCTCTTTTTCTTTATAATAAACCTTTAGTTTTGGACACTAAAGGACTGGCTGGCAGCATGGTATATTGGGTAAGATCCAAACCTATACTGACCTGGTAACGTGGCTGACCCTTTGGGGTCAAAAGAACATTCTGTATATGTGAGCAGAGTTATTTTAAATAACTTCTCACTGAACTGGACCTAGGTGCTGATTGGGAGCCAGAATGCAATAAAGGGGGCTGTGAGATTCCTTTTTTGCTTCTTGATAACCAGTGTGGGGGATGAGAAGCACAGTTTGAGACTGGTTGGGGAGTTTAACTTCAGCGTTACCCACCAGTCTTGGGAATATCTGCTCTCCATTTTGCAGCCTGCCCTGACCTTGGCATTTCCATTGAGGGCTGCCCCAAGCACCACGGGTCACACACGTGTTGGCACTTCTGTACAGACCCAGCACAGTCGGGTCCCCCTTCTCCTGCACAAGGTGGTTTGGAATGCAGGGGGCGGGGTGACGAGAGTAAAGGAACAGATAACCTCCCCATTCCCCTCTGTGTCGAGTTGCAATAGGTGTTCCACAGAGAATCATTGCCCTGACCTTCCCCTAAGGAAGTTATACATAACAATGGAGTTATGGTGGACAGAAGTTGCTTACACTGGGGGAAGGGAGTCAAACATTGTTTCAGAGGACCATACAAAGATAAAGCCTGCTCCGATGAATACAGGTTACCCACGGGCCAGAAAGGGGCAAACCAAACAGCTGAAGATACTTTTACAATCCTACTGACAGATTAAAAACTGTCCTCAGATTTGGGTGAGCGGTTACCAGTTGCTAAACACACTAGCCACAAACTAATACCTATTTCCAGAAACCCTCAGACTCTGTAGTTTCTTCCAATCAAAGGGGTATGGAGAGGCAACAGCGATTCTTGTTATCTGTCTGGCATTAAAATGCTGTGGTAGTCAGACTCGTTACAGCTTTAGAAATGAAATCTCTGCCACGAAATACAGAGTCTGTGTTTCAAATGCCCAGGACAGTGATTCAGTGCAAATTTACTTTTAAAAATGTAACTAAACAAGAACAGGAGCATACAGACCTGCACTGACTTCATCACTTACGTTTGGCATAGACATCTCGACAGGACACTCCTGTGATCTCCAGTTTCCGTAAGTTCTCGCAGACACCATACTCTGCAGTGACAGACAGAAAGGAGTTAAGAGCTAATAAAATGAGTGATTGTGTGAAAAGGTTTGGGCTGTCCACAGAGCTCCAGGATACCTACAACTGCAGCAAGAATTTAGGCAGCTTTAAATTCAATCCAATGTATTTTATTTAAAGTACAATCTTGCAAATTGCTGTATTTGTTAACAAATATTCTTGTTGCTGTTCTTCAGAAGCAGCAGAGGAAAGTTGGATGGCATCCCTTTCCAGACTAGATTCTCAGATTCCCTAGTACATTTTACAAGTGATGGCTACATGCAATCTATTGTGGCAACTCCTTGCTGATAAATTACGGGCACTTACACCTAGAATCGGTGGCAGAATGAAGTGGGGAAAATGACCCATCCAAACTGGGAATCTCTGTCAGTAGAGCAAACCATCATTGCTAACAGGTGTTATTCACTCCCACTAATTTGTCCTACAAGCAAGACTGTTTATTAAGACTCACGGAAAATGGCCACATTTCAGAGTACTGAAAGATCGATAGCTAAGATTATTTTAAAAGAATAAGTCTGTTTCATAGCCCCAAATTGTTAAGAGAATGTAACGTGTCTGCATGTACAATTACACTTGCAAACAAATCAGACTGAAATTGGTCCATTCTTTGCAGATGCCTTTGACTGTTTTGTTTTCAATGCATTCTATTAGTGATGCAGGGATCTTAAAAGCCTTTTCAAAATTTTAAAAGCAACTTTAAAGCAGGAAATGAGAGACTTCAGTGCAGGTTCAGAAGGCAAGCATTAAACTTTAATTCTTAAAAATATAGCAGACAAGTACCAGCAAATAATTCAATGAAAGAAATCCTGTAACACCAAGAGAAGAGGGAAAAACGTATCAAACAGCAACAAAAATAGAGCTAAGTGCCAAAAGCAAATCAGTCCTCAGCAGGGAAAATCCACACACTGAAAACCTCAAATGCACCTCTGAAAAATCAGACATCAGCTTCCTTTAGCAGAAGATTAAAGCACCTGATAGCTCCCTGCATCTGCTAGATATCTGATATCAAGTTTGTCCTTAAAGAACCCCAGGGAAGCCATCTGATCTGAAACCCACCCTCACACAAGGGACAGTGTCGATCAAGCTTCCTTGAATTTATGATTAACTATTGCTGCCTGTTACTAGTATCTATTCCTAATAACTTGCTCTGTACTCCGATTTCAATATAGGCCAAATGAGAGAAAGCAGACATCCGCCCGGCTCAACTCAATCATGCTCTTACTATATATATGCTCTATGTACATATGTTTGGCTAGGGTATGCAATGTAGCTTGACAGAACACCCACAAGACACACACGTGTTTTCTAAGGATGACTTGGGTTACTGTAGAAATGAATGTGAACAATCTCTTGCTATGAGAAGCGAGTTGAATAAAGACAGGAAGGGGACAAGAGGGAAAAACACAGATTCCCCTCCGTAAAAACTTCTACTGATGTCAGTGGGAGCTTGCCACTGACATCAGCAAGAGCAGGACGAAGCCCTAGTTGTTTAGGATGTGATATGAGGAGGAAGTACAATTAGCTAGTGAGTAAACAGCAAAGCTTCCAGGAACGCACTTCCAGCCTAGCACAAAACAAGCTATTTAGTGCTGGGCTAGAGCCAACTGAACGTATGCAGCAATTTTGCAGATCTGTGAAATCAAAGCTATATTCAAAGCTGGAAATTTGGACCCAGCCCACAAACAAGCCCACGTCCCTCCCGCCACTCTATCAGACATTATAATGCTTTTAATGCTAGCCTGTGTCTTGTTTGGTAATAATATCAGGGAGAGATGAAAAGCAATAGGCTTTTGCAGCTGATCTGTGATTCAGGAAATTACAGGCCTTCAGGAGAGGCGAGAAGCAACATTGACACAGCCTGTAGTTCGGAGAACAGTTGGTTCTTATACTAAAGAAGAACTTCACCTGCCTACAAAGCCAGCAAGGGGGCCACTAATGTCAGCTGCACACTTTCTGCAGCAAGTGATGCAGCTAGATTAAATTGGATACTGTCATCTGAAGTCACAGACTGCATTGGGAAAAAAACCACGCAGGGATGTCACAGGTCCAGCTGAGCGCCTCTTTTGGCCACTCACCAGATTGCTATGCGGGGATGCCACCACTGAATCCTGCGGGTGTTTTAAGCCCCTGGAGTCTGAACATAGTCTAGGTACTGCCACCGTTGTAAGGTCTCTAGATGCACTCTTAGGGTGCGGATCTTCTCTTTGGCACACCCCACAACAACTGTAATCATATGGCCCCCTGCCCAGCCCTGAGAACCAGTGCTGACCCCTCAGACTATCCCTACAGCTTAAACTCGCCCTTTCCATGAACCCCAGTAATAACTTAATCAGAATTCCTAAATTCTACATAGGTTCCCCAAATCATCACAAGACAATTCTGCCCAAATGACATTTTTCTGTTTTGTTCTTTATTAGGTCAGGATATTTGTGTGATAACATTCTCTCTTCCTCATCAGGTCACCTGCTCCTGATGCCCCAAAATTCTCAAATGCTCCTCATCGTAGTATCTAAGAGGTGCAAATCCAGTCTGAATTCGTGAAATCACTGATTGTCATGCACAGAAATCACGACGTAAATTGGAAAAAATCATCCAATGGTTTCTAACAAGTGGCCTTGTTAAATAGCAGGAGACAGACTACCTAAAAGCAGAACTATCACGAGGTCTGGTGTATTTTACAAGTTTCACAGTTTGGGTTTAACTGGATCTTTCCCAAAAGAGTCAGCGTCTTCTCAAACACTAGCAACTTCCTAAAAACAATTCCAGTGTGATTAATTTTCATTGCCATTTGACATTAGCCACACGAGTCCTGCAAGAATTTCATCTTGTTTGCTAGCAAGAATGTAATCTTAGCTGGTGAAATTCCTATAAGTCATAATCCTGCTCTCCTCAGTGATCTAAACTACAACCAAAAGCCCATACTGGCTTTGCTTAACTGTGGATGGATAGAACACTTAATTTTTTTCTTCAAGGGCTGTCATGGTGATGAAAGGTATGAAATTACAGATTGTGAAGACCAAACTCCCCTACCACTCCCACATCCAAATCCCAACAATTATTAAATGCAAGAAAGCTTGCCAGTGCATGGACAACACTATTTATTCTTGATGCTAGAAAGGATAAAGGGGAGGTTAAACTAAGATAAGAGCTATGTAATGCTGCAATTCAGCTACAGAAAAAAAAATACTGTTTTGCTTTCCCTGACAATTAAATGGGAGGTTTCCAGAAAATCCTGCTTCGCTGCAAGTAAGGCTCTTTTAAAGAGAAATTCTCAATGCGCCAGTTCATCAAGGAAATTAAATATTGAAAATGTTCTAAAGTGTTAATATGGATGGAAATTCACAACCACAGTGAGTAACTGCTCATAATCCTGCTTCAAAAGGAAGGATAGAACTTGATTATGAAATTCTCATTCTACTAGCTGGGAAGGTTGTTCTCTTAGGTTAACAGGACTCGGAAGATTTACTCAACGCATGGCAAATATACCAGCACTGCCATGCCCTGTGGAATTTGAAGTATTAAACAGTGCACTGTTTATTATGGCCTGCACTTAAGCATAACATTGTCAGCCTCCTAGTTTACACGTTTGTAAGTGAAGCATACTATATCTTTTGCTTTCATATAATGCTCTCCTCCCTTCCTGGTTTCACTCTACCTGCTCTTCTATAACAGATCATGGCACATCTTATTCTGCAATTTTCTGTTTGCACTTCTCCTCCCCTCGATTATATCCCTTTCTGCACCTTATGTTCTCTACTCTTCCTACAACTACATTTTTCCTATAGTAAAGGATTGGAATTGCAGCAGGTATTGCCACTACCCTCCTGAAAAGTCATGAAGGGTTTGGAAGTGCTTTTCAAGCAAGTCTTTAGTAGCGCGCAAGGAAATAGGCAGTGGGGCAGGTAAGGTAATGTCTTTACACAAAAAAATATTTGTCAACCTAAAGAACCAAGGACACCAAACTTCATTCTCCACTTTTATGCCGCATTAAGGCTAATTGTTACTAGTAACTAAGTCTTTTAATTCCATGCCTACATAAGCACAACATTAGCAGCCTGAAAGACTGTATATGATAAGGTGCTGAGAAGTGGCTGTAGGTCTAGCATGGATGCACAAACCATGGCGAGGCCAGACACGTTATTCAGTACACAATCAGAGGGGGGTCAGTGGAAAACATTTTGCACTGGGAATGGGGAGACCTGGCTTCTATTCACAGCTCTAGATCACTCCCCCACTCTTCCACCCCCCATACGACTCAGCTTCCACATCTGTAGAACAGATGCCCACCTTTGTAAAGTGTTCTGAGATCTACAGCAGACTAATCTACAGGTGATAAATGTAACACAAAGCCTGCCCCATGATGACTATTTAACAATTTATATTTTCTCCCCAACCCCGTTTCAACAAAAACAAAACGTTAGAGTATTTTAATTTCTAAATTCTAGATCTGGTTACTATGATCCACCAGTGAAATTTCCTAGACAGGTGACCTGATGTGGTGTGTTATTTCAATATAAAACTAGTGACCACTTAAACTACAAGCATATATGGTCATGGGTTAATCAAGGAAAGTCAAGTCAAAAGCCAAAGTGCATCGGAAAGTGATTGCAACACTCCACTTGCCAAACAAGCAGGTCAGAGAAACAGTTTATCCCAAACAGTCACAATGATAAAAGGGCATCATCCCAAAAGTAGCTGGCTACAAACGCTGCAAAACTAGCTCATGTTTCGTTCATTCTCCAATTTCAGAGCCACAGCCAAAAGCAATTGTGTGTAGCCTGAAGGGGAGGATCCCCCCTACTCAAAATACTGCTCCAGTGACTGCAATAAAATTGAGTCTGCCTGCAATCACACTAAACCAAGGTGTCAAAAAACTCATTTGGTTGAGAGGGCTGATTTACATTTTTAATTATAGACTATGGCTACAAAGTTAGGGCTGTTTATAACCCTTGATCCACAGCAGTGATCTCATGACAAAAGCAGATATGCACAAAAATTAAGGGTAAAAAAAGACAAGTATGTAGCACTGCAGTATTCAGCATCTCTTAGCAGAGAGAATGTTAAAAGCACTCGCACAACCACCTGTCCCTTGTTTAGTTGGGCGCTTGTGCATGCACAAGTGAGAACCACACAAGCAACCAAGAAGGCAGACTTGCATAACTAATCAGGAAGTACAGATCCGTGATGTGCTCAATGGCTTCAGAGTTAATGTGTTACTGTTAGGAATAGGAGCATGTTATTGAATTGAATTCACCCTTTGCTCTATTTCTAGGCCCTTATAATTTCACCAAAATTATACTTTTCTGCCTAAACTGTCATAGGCTAGGTCTCAGCCCAAACTGATGCTTATTTTTATAGATCACACCTAACTAGGACTGTCTTCCCTTTTTGATGTTTGAAAGTCATGCAACCTAATACTCACTACTACATGGAGACAACATGCGAAGACGCAGAGTTCCAGATACACATATATGGACACGAGTCCAACATGGCTACAACACTGCATGGAACTCCACACAATTCCAAGCAGCTGATTTATTCCTACGATCAGGAATTCAATTAAACCCAGAGCATGTGTTTATTTGAATGTATATTCTCATATACAAGGAGAGCATTACTTGAATATATGCAATGGTACTACTAAGAAGAGACCAGGAGATGGTGAAGTAATGACCCTAACACAAAGTTATCAATGAGATTTTATACTTGTGCAGTCTGAAAATTCAAGATTACGGTTCCCACACCATTGGTAATAGCCACATTACATCTACAAAGATGAAATAATTGACATTATATACAGCAACACAAAATGATAGATACAGCACATGAACAGGGCCAAATTACAGTTTCTGGGGAAACCATAACTGGATTTCCTGAAAGAAGAGTTTAAAGTCTAATTCCTAAGGTCGCTGTTACAGTGCTGTGAGAACTTCATGAACTCCTCAGGAGGAGACTGACTCTTATCTGTCTGAAGCACCGTGCATGCTTTTGGTATAGGAAGTGCTCCAGTGGATTGGACTAGGGGGTCAATCTAATTCACCACCTTATCTCTGATAACAGATGCTTAAGAGAATACAAGGAACTGTAATGGACAGTTATGTAATACTAATGTGTTGGTAGAAGTAGTTTCTTTCTACACCTTGCCAGTTACTGTTTGGTTTATGCCCTGAAGGGAGGGGTTGTTATACACAAAAGTTTTCAATCCTGTCTAATGCAACTGTGAATGCTCTTATCATACATAGTAGTCTCATTTTCCTTTGAATGATAAGTTCTTGGTCTCAATGATACATACTGAAAGTGAGATTCCCAGATCATTTATGAGTTGTGTAAATAAATATACTTCCTTGTATCAATTTTAAATCTGGTTTCTTTTAATATTATCGAGTGTCTCTTTGTATTTTAAGAAAGAGTAAATGGCATTGTATAAAACGAATACCAGTTATACTCATATGTGAGAACTTTGCCAAGGCCACAACCCACAAAAACCAAACCCTTATGACCTAGAAGAAATCTGTGTGTGAAATTTACCAATACAGGTATAGATTCTTCTTGCCCACTCTTATAACGACAACTAAAAAGTGGATAGTACGTTTTTCCCCCCCCCTCTCCCCACAAAATATTATATCTGTGGAACATGTTAGGCTGAAAAAACAGCTTATAACTTCTTGGGAAAAGTCTTCACTGCTTTGTGTGATCCATGGGTTTTCATCAGTTCTGACAAGCACCCTCAGCTGCCCTCAAGTGCAGATAAGGAACCATCTATCCCCTGCAGCCATGGATGCGATCCTTAATGCATCTGAGCACTACCTTTCTGTTTGATGACACAGAGTGCAGCTGCCTAGCGTGCTCAGACACTCCAACTAGATGCACTCGCTGGCATATCCAAAATGTTAATATATACCTACAGGTTTCAGAGTGACAGCCGTGTTAGTCTGTATCCGATGAAGTGAGCTGTAGCTCACGAAAGCTTATGCTCAAATAAATTGGCTAGTCTCTAAGGTGCCACAAGTACTCCTTTTCTTTTTGCGAATATATATCTATGACATCATAGCTGGCTGCAAATGCACCACATAGCAAGAGATGTGATGGGTACCATGCTGGGAGAAGCAGAAGCAAGTTAGGCAATTTGGAGGGTGTCAGGGCAACTGGGTTAGCAGACGGGGGGACAGGCAGTGGGGTGCCTGCAAAGCAAAGGGCAAGGAGTAAAAAGCATGCATTACATTTTGGTAGGACGGGACTGGGGCTCTGAAGATGGACATGTCACTAAATATGCAGCAGGGTATCTCTACAGGGGATGTGGTAGGGAGATGCCCTAGGAAGATGGGAGGGTTGGCACCCAGACTGACCCACTCACCAGCACCAACCAGAAAGCTAGTACCATTCTCCTTGCTACAGGTCTGGCACCCACCCAACTACACACACAGGGGTCCCTAACCCAGGCCAGGCAACTAGTGTCAGCACCCCACCTCCCCCTACACACTATATCCCAGGGTGCCCCTACTTTACCCGCAGGCCCCTACCTTCCTCAGCTGTCTACCCCCAGAGACCACCTTCCCCCCATGCTTCCCTGTCCCGGTGGGCCTTTCCAGAGCCTCACACCTGCAGAGTCAGCCCCATGGGGACCCCTCGCCCCCGGCACCCCCTCCCCGGTCTGGCCCATCCAGCGCCCCCATGGGAACCCCCCGCGCCCCCTCCCCGGTCTGGCCCATCCAGCCCCCCCATGGGAACCCCTCGCCCCCCGCGCCCCCTCCCCGCGTCTGGCCCATGTACCACCCGGCGGCCCCAGGCGGTACCTTCCCGGCAGCGCCGCCGCCAGATCGTGTCGGTGCGGAGGATGCGGCGGAAGGCGCTGCAGACCCGGGCCAGGCTGGGCAGGTCGGTGCCGGGCAGGGAGCCGAAGATCTGCACCAGGAGCTCGGGGGGCAGCTCCAGCAGGGAGAGCGGGGCCCGGGCGGCCGGGTCCGGAGCCTGCCCTTGTCCCAGCCGGGCTCCCTCGATCCGCTCCTCCTCGGCGTCCGTGTCGGGCTCGCTGTCGGCCGGGCCCTCCCGCCGCTGCTCCCGCTGCGCCCCGCGCCGCCGGCAGCCCCGCGCCGGCCCCACCCCACACAGCCGCGCGCACACCGCCATGACCGGCCGGCGACTGGCGGAGGGCGGCCGCCGGCCGCGGCCCGCACGCGCAGGGCCCGCCCGCCAGCGGGCTCAGCCAATCACCACCCGCGCTGGGGAGCTGACCTCGGCGCGCCACAGACGGCGACACGCCCCTTACAGACGTAACCACGCCCGCTGTCACTTTTGCCGCGCCTACTAACTGTCTCCAACCCGGCCGTCACATTCACCACGCCCCCTCGCCACGTGACACGCCCACAACCAGCGACCACGCCCAGCGAGCGACAGGCCGCGCCCCCTTGTTCAAACTAAGTCCCCGTTGCCCCGGTGGGGGCTGCGAGACCCGGCCCCGGCCCCTCCCCCCCGGGGGCTGCGAGACCCGCCCCAGGGCTAACGCAGACCCGGCCCCGGCCTCTCCCCCCGGGGGCTGCGAGACCCGCCCCAGGGCTAACGCAGAGCCGGCCCCGGCCTCTCCCCCCGGGGGCTGCGAGACCCGGCCCCGGGGCTAACGCAGAGCCGGCCCCGGCCTCTCCCCCCGGGGGCTGCGAGACCCGCCCCAGGGCTAACGCAGACCCGGCCCCGGCCTCTCCCCCCGGGGGCTGCGAGACCCGCCCCCGGCTAACGCAGAGCCGCCCCGGCCTCTCCCCGGGGGCTGCGAGACCCCCCCGGGGCTAACGCAGGCCGGCCCCGCCCCTCTCCCCCGGGCTCTGCGAGACCCCCCAGGGCTAACGCAGACCCGCCCCGGCCCCCCTCCCCCCGGGGGCTCAGACCCGGCCCCGGCCCCTCTCCCCCCGGGGGCTGCGAGACCCGCCCCAGGGCTAACGCAGACCCGGCCCCGGCCTCTCCCCCCGGGGGCTGCGAGACCCGCCCCAGGGCTAACGCAGACCCGGCCCCGGCCCCTCTCCCCCCGGGCTCTGCGAGACCCGCCCCAGGGCTAACGCAGACCCGGCCCCGGCCCCTCTCCCCCCGGGCTCTGCGAGACCCGCCCCAGGGCTAACGCAGACCCGGCCCCGGCCTCTCCCCCCGGGGGCTGCGAGACCCGCCCCAGGGCTAACGCAGACCCGGCCCCGGCTCCTCTCCCCCGGGGGCTCGAGACCCCCCCAGGGCTAACGCGACCCCCCCCCTCTCCCCGCTCTGCGAGACCCCCCCAGGGCTAACCAACTCGGCCCCCCTCTCCCCCCGGGGGCTGCGAGACCCGGCCCCGGGCTAACGCAGACCCGGCCCCGGCCTCTCCCCCCGGGGGTCTGCGAGAGCCGCCCCAGCTGTTATGGACCTGGACCCTCTCACGTCGTGGGGGTGTAACTCGGGTCACAGGGAAGCCCACCGGATTCCGTTTGAAAGTTTCCTTGCCACATTTGATCATAAATATAAGCCCAGGCGCTGAGTAATAAGCCCTGCAGCAGCGAGGAAGGACATGCGTGGCCCTGAGCAAGGACAGCCTTGGGGGGCCTGTGCCCGTGGAGCTTCCACCTGCCTCTAGGGCCGGGAGCCTAACACCCCTGCTGACTTCTGCAAGCTCTGCTCTGCCCCTCTGTAGCAGGGTGCAGAACTCAGGGGAACTTCCGTATCACCCCAGGGTGCCAGCCCCCAGCCGCAGCCGGGGCCCGCGACTGCTCTGCGCCCTGGCTGGTTGCATCGCCCCACTTTAGCAGCTCACCCTGCAAGCCAGCAGCTAGCTCTGTCCACCCGCGTTGCGGGGTGGGAGCTGTCTGCCTCCCCCCCTGACTGTTGAGTCCTGGTTTACACTATAAACTTCTGTCGGTGTAATTAGGGTGCTCTGGGGTGCGGAAAACCCGGATCCCTGTGCACTGGATTTCACCAGCGCCTCCTGGTTCCCGTGTCCGTATCCTGCCGCCCCCCCTTGCAACAATCTCTGCAGGGCCTGTTGGCTGCTTGGAAAGCAGGGAGTTAGGGCCGCTGCATTGCTGGTCTCATGTCCTTCCTCCCGACAGTGCAAAAGCTCTTGATCGCACTCGCTGCATAACAAATGTAACAGCCAGGAAAGGAGGGGAAAAAACTCAGGTTGCCCCGTGTGAGGATCGAACTCACGACCTTCAGATTATGAGACTGACGCGCTACCTACTGCGCTAACGAGGCTCCTTGAGAAAATAGCTTTCAAAGAGTCCTTTTAGTCTTTTCCTCCCTAATGGTGGTTTGGGTTGGAATATTAATATCTTTTGTTTACTTAGTATGAGATCTCCAGCGACCATAAAGAACAGCACTGAAACGCTGAGAGGGGGTTCTGCTTTTGCAAATGACTTCTCCCCTTGCTGTGGCTTTCTGCGAAGAATCCTTTTTCTTTCGTAATCCAGGCATTTAAACATTTTTGCTACTTAAAGGAGGGCTGTGGGGGCTCAGGAATATCTGGGCAGCTGCACTCTGCAGAGAAGCAGCACAGTGCTTCAGGATACCTATTAATATTATTTGCAAGGGAACAAGATGGTTTCCCTCTAAACATTAAAAATTAAAACGAATCTTATGTTTGCTTCACCTCATGAAGTGTCAGTATTAGATTTTGAGCTCTCTGAAGTAGGAACAAACTTTGCAGTAGTTGTTGGTCTAATGCTTAGTACAATAGGGGCTATAGAGGGAAATCCTAGCCCCATTGACGTTAATGGGACTTTTGCCATTGACTTCAATGGAGCCAAGATTTCTCCCCTAATTGGGGTCTTTCAGAGTTGACAATAAATAAAAAAAAATAATAACCTACACTTAATATACTGGATCATTATATCCTCACCCTATAAATTAATGGCTGGAGGTGCCCCAGATGGAGAAATAACAGTTACTTCCATAATGCTGCCATCTCCCCCATGCTCATTTACAAACAAAACACTAGCTCAAGAACTCAACCAAAATGCAACTGGTCTGTGAGCAGGCAGGCGTGAGTGGGATTGCTGGACATTTTGCTAGCAGGAGGCGGATGCTCTGTTGATGGGAGCTATTGTGGAGGATGCAACTCAAATAGGCCTGGAACATGCATTTCGTTTTTGGTTGCATGCTCCTGCATCAGATGCTGAAGGGGCAGCTGAGCTTGTCTGTGACATAAGGCCAACATTTTCAAAAGTAGCCATTGATTTTGGGTGCCCATCTTGAAAGTTTTGGGCTTGATTTTCAGATAAGCTTGGCCCCCACAGCTCTGATTTCAGTGCATGGCAGCTGTGGGTGCTGTGAACTTCTGAAAGGCAGGCCCAAGGGGATGTTACATTGAACACCCAGAGCCTGAATCGCCCCAAACCAGTATCCACTTTCGGAAATGTGGCTGCACAGGAGGCATAAGAGGGATGGAGGAGCCAAACATCTGCTTTCTATATGGATCAAATCACATGGCCCTCTTGGTTCATCATGCTACCCTGCGGTCCCCACACCGAGGCACACAAGAGTTCTGGTGCTGCTGGTCTAGAGGAGTTTGTAGCCACTATGTAGCCAGTAAGGGTCACTGGGTGCAGGGGAAAAAGCAGCAAAGGGACACATGGCATGGACTCAGTTGGGGACTAAAACAAAGGATATCTTTGGGACATTACTCCATGCTGAAACTTTGCAGTACAAGATTGATACGTCCTTGCTCCTTCGGTTTTTCTGGGTTTGCCACTATTTTCTTCTCTCTCTCTCCTCTGACCCTGCTCCCTACTATATCCCTACCCTGTCACCCCTGACCCCCACAGGCTCCCTGCCTCCGATATAATGTTATCCTAAACAATCCCTTGGCTACAAGGAGTTATCCATCACTCAATGATCAGAGCTGCTGCTTTCTCCCAAGTCTCTTGACAACTAGGCTTTTCATCAATGAAAGCACCTTCCTTCAGTTTCACCCCCTGAAACTGTTCAAGCCAGCAGAGGGCAGGCTGGTCCATGGTGATACCAGGTGGCTTCTTATGAGCTGAGGCAGAAGAAGGCAAGGGAGAGAGAGGCAATGACTCACTAACAGAAAGAGGTGGTGGCTGTCTCCACTCTGCATTTGTTTCACCTGACAGGTAGCCTGGCTTAGTGATATGAGCATGGAACTGGGAGCCAGGAATACATGAGTAAAAAGAAAAGGAGTACTTGTGGCACCTTAGAGACTAACCAATTTATTTGAGCATAAGCTTTCGTGAGCTACAGCTCACTTCATCGGATGCATACTGTGGAAAGTGTAAAAGATCTTTTTATGTACACACAAAGCATAAAAAAAAACCTCCTCCCACCCCACTCTCCTGCTGGTAATAGCTTATCTAAAGTGATCACTCTCCTTACAATGTGTATGATAATCAAGGTGGGCCATTTCCAGCACAAATCCAGGGTTTAACAAGAACGTCGGGGGGGGGGAGGAAAAAACAAGGGGAAATAGGTTACCTTGCATAATGACTTAGCCACTCCCAGTCTTTATTCAAGCCTAAGTTAATTGTATCCAATTTGCAAATGAATTCCAATTCAACAGTTTCTCACTGGAGTCTGGATTTTAAGTTTTTTTGTTGTAATATAGCAACTTTCATGTCTGTAATCGCGTGACCAGAGAGATTGAAGTGTTCTCTGACTGGTTTATGAATGTTATAATTCTTGACATCTGATTTGTGTCCATTTATTCTTTTACGTAGGGACTGTCCAGTTTGACCAATGTACATGGCAGAGGGGCATTGCTGGCACATGATGGCATATATCACATTGGTGGATGTGCAGTGCTCATCCCACTCTGGGCCGTATGCAAAACGCAGTGAAGTCAATGGCAGGCAGTGGGCTTTAGACAAGGCCCTATTGGATCTTGGACCAGACATTTGGCCTCCCTATCTGTTTAAAATATAAGGATTTTAAATCCTCCCCCATTGGGATGGGGGATCAAAGACTGCAGCTAAAGATACAAGGGGTAAGGATAAATATGCTGTATTATTCACTTACATCACTCATGTGCTCTCTGGTACTACCAAGTACTTGAACATCCTTAATGCCTGGCACAAAAGTTACTTGCCGTGTTCTGGAGTAATAGCCCCTAAGGCTTCAGTTTCAGTATTACAGTCTGCAGTGCTTGGAGCTGTGTTACTGTAGTACCTTTGAATAAGGGATGT